ATCCTTTCTCTGGCTAGGAACCGTTAGACAAAACCCGAGCAGAGAGTCTCTCGCTCACTCCGCGGCTTTAGCCTCCATTTGATGGGCTCGCAAGATAGTGCTACAATTCTCTTATTCTTGGGATAAGCTGATCATTGGCATGTCCAGGATGGACAAAGGGAAGCATGTTTTCTTAAACATTCATTAGCTTATGAATTAGTTCCGCAGGGTATGAGTGGTCTCCACCATGAGCGACTTGAAAGAAAGGAAGAAAGATTAGATAAATAAATGCATGAAGCTGTCCATGGCTATTAACCATGACAAGTAGAAGCTGCTTCTCTGTTCTTCAAAGGCAGTTTTCCTCCTCTTCTAAGGGTGTCTTTGTTGTTCGCAGCCACACTCTGGCATAGTTCGCTCTGCGTTGCTTGTGTGCTCGACACAATCCCTCTTGCCACCCCTCCGAACAGCGGGATGCAAACAAGGCTGCCCATTTCTGCCTTGCCCTCCAAATCAGAGGAACTGCATCACCGAGGAGATAAAAAGGAGGTAGTGATTTGCACGAAACACGCTTGTGTGGATTTATACACGTAGAGGCACACTGAGAAATAATTCCTTTCGGCTTTAAATCGAAACACAGTACATTTTCCCGCACTGGGGCAGGGGATGGCCCGGAGAGCTGTGTGCCTGACCAGTCTCCTGTCCAGGGGAGACCCTCCCCTGCTCTTCCTTCAGATAGTTCCTTATCTTTAATCTGGATTTGCAAATAATGCACTCCCCTCTCACGGGCATCCCAGTGCAAATGCATGCTGGCTTCTCTCACTCAATGGGCCCAGGGTGCCCGTGCTGCAGGGCCGGCCCTCACCGAGGCTATATAGCAAGGGGACGGCATAGCAAAATGTTAAATAAATAAATAGTGAGGTGGTCTCCTGAGGGCAGATGCTGAGAGATCCCACCAAGGTATTGGAGGGCAGAGCTGTGTGCCTTGGGGCCCTAAGCATGCCTTGGTGCCATCTTATTCTTGGCTTCAGGCAGGAGAATGTCCTGGGCCAGCCCTGCTGTGCTGGGAAAGACTGCGACCCGTTTTATTTATTTATTTATTTGGGAGTCTTGTATGCCGCCCCATTCGCATAGGGCTTGGGGTGGCTTCCAACAAATAAATAACTATATAAAAATATAAAAATATAAAAATTGGAAACATCCAGGCAAAAAATAAAACCAATAAATAAATTAACAATTAATTAAAATAACGTTTAAATAAAAAGGTCATGGCCTGGTGCCGAAAAACAAATAATGATGGCGCCAGGTGGACCTCTCTGGGGCATGCGTTCCATAGGTGGGGCGCCACCGCAGAGAAGGCCCTCCTCCAGGTACTCGCCCTCCTAATATCATTCACAGAGGGCTCCCGGAGAAGGGCCTCTGCGGGAGGGCAAGTATGGACGTAGAGGCGCTCCTCTAGAGGGCGGGAGGGAGGGAAGTATGGACGTAGGCGCTCCTTTAGATACCCAGGTCCCAAGCCGTTCAGGGCTTTATAGGTAATCACCAGCACCTTGAATTGGGCCCGGACTTCACTTGGAATAGCATTCCTGCCAGACGTTTTGCTGGCTGGGCGCTGGGGAGCTGCAGCCCCACACAACAAGAATCGTAGGATAGCAGAGTTGGAAGGGGCCAAGAAGGCCATCGGGTCCAACTCCCTGTGTTCCAGGACACCATGTTACACCATCCCAGCCAGATGCTTTTTGAATGCCTCCAGTGTGGGAGAGCCCATGACCTCTCCAGACAGCTGGTTCCACTGTCGTATTGCTCTGACAGTGAGGAAACTTTTCCTGATATCTAGCCTGAATCTGGCTTGTTCCAACTTGAGCTGATTCTTCCATGCCCTACAATCTGGTATCAGTGAGAAGAGATCTTGACCTTCCTCTTTGTGACAGCCTTGGAGGGACTTCTAGAGGAATATCTCCCCCCCCCCCCCGCAGTCTTCTCTTTTCAAGGCTGAACATGCCCAGTTCTCTCTGTCTCTTCTCACAGTGCAGTGTCCCCAAGCCTTAGATCATTTTTCTTGGCCGCCTCTGGATGCTTTCTGATCAAGAGTTAGATACAAGTCAAGGAAGACTCTGGAAAGCTGCTGCCACAGAGAACAAGAGATTTTGAGCTATCTAGAAATGTGAAGGCCTGGAAAATATTCAGGAAAAAGTAGTATGTGTGAGGTGTGGAAGAGGAGCACTCTTTTTCCTCATCAAACTGACATTTTGGGAAAATTTGGAGCAAGGTGGGTGATTCTGATGGTGAAGCTGGTGTCCGTTTCCTTCCAAGTCATCATAGCTCTGGTAGGCAACTTGTTATGTGGAGATTCTGGGGATAAAACAAGAGAAAGCCATGGTGTCCCACCAGGCATGGAGAGCCCACCAGGCTGGGTCAGTCTTGGCAACATTCTGTGAAGTGCTCCTGCAGTTCCGACATTATTGTCAAAACAAACACAGTCCAGCAAAGCCATGAAGCTGGACGGGTGTTGTTTGCTGTAGAGGACAAGGTCGAGGGGGAACTTGGCTTCTGATCATGTTTCGCTCCAGTCCATCAGCAAAATCCACCGTATGCAGGACAAGGCATGGCTTAGTTGCGACACCAACCCTGCCTGGGGTGCCAGCTGGATGGTCCATGAGTCATTTGGAGCAGATGGCTGCCGCCAGAGATGACCTGGCTGACACTTTCCCCAGAAGGGGAGGTTGGGGTTATTCCCCAGCAACCAGGATCGCCCTGGGTCAACCAGAACCTTCCATTGCTCCTAGACTCTGCTTCTAGTTGGATTATCGACTCCCCTTCCCACTTTCACGCTTTCACCCCTTGGGCCCAAAACCAGGTCGAGTTGTTCCATTTCATAAAAACTGCACCAGCTGTTCAAGCTTGCCCACCCCCTCCTCAACACCTTCTTAGTGGAGAGCCCAGTGGATTTGGTACCCCAAATTTGGATGTTGCTTCACTATTCCCAGCATCCTTGAAGCGGTAGGTGTACCTAGAAATTCCAGAGAGTTTGTCACTCGCCCGGACACTGGGAAAATCCTGCAGGCAGCTGGGAGCATTCCAGAAGCATTTGGGAAAATGAGTGCAGTGAGGCCTATTTTGGGCAAGAATGCAGAATGCAGAAACTGTGCTCCCTTCCCCGGCTAAAAATAAAAGACCTTTCCCCTAAACGGGCCTGCTGTTCTCACAGTGGAAGATCTGGGCCTACGGAGGAGGCGATGGCGGACCACCTCCGCCTCCCGAGGTCCCAAGCAAGGGCTGCGTGAGCATTGTCCCGCACGCCTGGGTTGCTACAGCCTTGCAGTGTTAGGGTGGCGTTCGAAGACCACAAACCTCACAGGAGACGGCGCTGCCCTGCGGCAGGATGAACTTCGGTCCACTGAGTCCTGTATCGTCATCTGGGACTGAGTTTCAGGCCAGATCCTTTCCTAGGCCTGCCTGGAGATGCCACCAGAGATGGCCTCCACACAGCACTGCCCTTCTTCCCCCCAACAGGATGGCTTGCCTCCCCACTCCTTTCTCACTTTGTTCGTTAAGACTGAGCTGCCCCACTGCAGGAGTGTCAACCGTTAATGCAGCAGGCTTTTAAGGCCGGATTTCGGGGTCAGTGGACACATGGGAGTTTTGATGGTGTCGGGTGTGCTCTCATGGACTCGAAACTTGCCTGCTTATAAAATGGCTGCCACTCTGGGAGTGGAGGGTCACAAAACATTCATTCCTTAGATGGCAAATGGGTGAGACAAAAGGAACAGTAACTTGCCCGAGAAGCTCAGTTCTAGTTAGAAGTGGGGCCGGGAAGTGGGCATCTCCATTACGGGAGCTTTGGGGTGCTCAGGCTTCGGGACGGCAAGGGAATGTTGGTAGCATGGCTGCTGAGTGGAAAGTTCTGGAAGGAACAAAGTTGGCGGGTGGCAATTGGAAAAGTTTCAGGCAAAGGGAGGGTTAACACAGAGGAAGCGTTCTGATGACCCACAATGGAGTGGACTACTTTGGAGTATAGAACTTAGCCTAGAAGTATATTAACAGAACAGCACTTAAGTTGTACAACCAATTTTAAACAATGGCACGGGACTGAAGGTCACCCTTTTTGATTTTTGAGGCTATTTAATGTGCTACATTAACAGGGAATGAAAGGAAAAATATTACTGATAGTCTTTGATTCTAAGAACGAAGAGTAGCTTTTGACTGCAAGGCTTCTTTGCAGTTACTTGGCAATGCCAAGTAACTTACTAATGAGTAAACCGCAGAGGACTGACCTGCTGTGTTTATTACATTTCCAATTTCCTTATGCTCATTTGATACCCAAGAAAAGCACTTAGGTTGAGGTTGTGATTATGTGCAAACTTTCATTAATTTGATGAGTCAGCCGGTTAGTTCCAAAGTAGAGGGTTACTCAACTCAGAAGTTCTTTAATTTCTGGTATACAAGACATTTTATAGGTGGCGTTCCTCTTCCCCTCTGATGCCATGCAAGGAAAAAATGTTACCGTATTTTTCGCTCTATAAGACGCACTTTTCCCCCCCTCAAAAGTAAGGGGAAATGTCTGTGCATCTTATAGAGCAAATGTGTGTGTGCCCGACGCCCGGGACGCTGCCAGCCGCCTGCACCACGTGGCACCACCTGGCCGGCACACGCTCGGGGCGCCCTGCTCCGCCCCCCCCCCCGGCGCAGGTGAACAGGTCGGTGTGTGTTTTCAAATGGCAACCCGTTTTTTAATGAAGCCCCTGGGGAAGTGATGGGGAATGTGCCTGTGATTATCAGGAAGCTTTCCATGGATCCCTCCTCTAAACACTAGGTGCGTCTTATGGTCAGGTGCGTCTTATAGAGCAAAAAATACGGTACCTCTCCAGTTTTCTAGTTATTAGTCTGTGGATAACAAGGGCCCCCAAAACAGATTTCAACCCCCAACAGCCCACCACAGGGCATCGTAAAATTAAAGATTCAGGGATTGTCCAGACACTGGAATTTCTTCTTCCTGTACAGATATTTAAAACAACACATACGCCTTTTTCATTATGTTTAGGATATGTTTAGACAAGGGAGTAAGTAATGGACAAAGAATACGTGAAAAACCATTGCACAGAGAAAGCACAACCAAACACGAGTTGCTACCTAGGAAAAAAGGGATGCACACAAAATCCACTTGTGGGTTAAGGTCTGACCAGCAAACGTTTAACTCTGGACTCAGGGAGCCCCCTAGTGGTTAAATCATGCATCCCCATCAGCTAGCATTCTGCGCCTAAATGGCTCCAACAGCCTTGGCCGTGACTGTGTATTTGTGGGCAATTATATTCTCCAAGACGGGCAGCAAGCAGAGTCAGCCTGCTCCGTTGTCCAGTCAGCTGTGCCTAGAGAACTGCAAATTTTATCCTACCCAGAGCTGCAGGCCAGGAGAGGGCATCTGTCAGTACATCTTTGTGGCAGGGATTCGTACGTTCATTCCAAAGGGAGCAAGGAAGCAAGCAAGCGAAAAAGGAGGGAGAACCAGTCCCCCATTCTTTTTGGCTGGCAAGAAATATCAGGCTGGAAGACAGCATGAGTTGTGGTGGCTGTGACATTATCACGGGGTTTATTCTAAGGGGCACATTTTTTTTGCAGTTGTTTAAAAAAAGTGCATCAGAAATTGAAATTTTTATGCAGCTGGCAACATGGCATATAATCTTTATGTTGCATTGCACAGAAAAAAAATCTGGGAGGTGCTCACACAATGGGGATGGGGTGGTGCCCCAGATTCTTACGTGGCTGAAAACAGCACTTAGAATAAACTCTGCATGATTGGGACACGGCAAGGGCTGCAGGGAGCTCCACTGTCCATGGCTGTGGGAGCCACGGCGAGGCTTCTGTGCCCGTGTTCCCTGATGGAAAGGATCACGCTTGAAGGCACCCTCTCCTACAACTCCCATCGAGGCCAGGAAAACATGGTGACACCTTTCACGTGCAAAATGTTTTTCCGTTCTTTTGTTTTGCCCAGAACTACCCCATGAGGCAGGTTCGGCTCGCTGAGCTCAGTACTCTGTCCTCTGTGCAGTTTGGGCTTCCCTGGCCTTCAGCTGGGAGTGGAAGAGGTGGAGAAGCAGCCTAGCTCTTTCTACTCCGCCTGCTTCCAAGGTCAGCTGGAAAGGGCGCTATTCTCTGTTTGTCCGGGTGAGACAGCAACACGCGCGTGTCCTGGGCTGGCTTCCCCATCACCTTGCCTCTCCTCGCCACCTTGGGTCGGGGCTGGCTGGAGACAGTGGAAGGGGCCGGGGGCCCTGGCATGGGCATCAGCTAAAGGAGCCTCCTGCCCTTTGGGTTAAGAAAGCACGTTTTCTCCAGTGATGACAGAGCGAGGACCCGGGAGTTCTTTGCTAGCTGCGTGGTGGGGAAGCGGGTTCCCCATCGCTCATGCAAAGACAGGAGAATTCTGCCAGTAGGAATACACCAGGAACCCGGTGAAGGTGCTGTCTGTCTTTACACTCGAGTAGAAGCCGGTGTAGTCCCCCACGCCGACTTGCACCCAGACCTCGTCCTCCGGCTCCAGCCGCACCAGGGCGCCCCCGGACAGTGAGGTGGGCTTGGCCCAGTTGCCGTAGAACTGAAAGAAGGAGGCCATCGACTTGCCGTTTTTCATGATGTCGAACTGGAGGCTCATGCGGTACACGGTGGCGTGGACGGCGAAGTAGTACAGCCCCGGGACCTCGCAAAGGAACTTGCCCGTGTTCCCATCGTAATGGCCTTGCTCGTTGATCAAGACGACGTCGAAGACGATGGGCTGGTCCGCTGGGGGCGGGCTGCGCGACTCGGAGCGCTTGGCGCTGAAGGCCGAGCGTGGGGCTACCGCGCACTCCCCCTGCGCCCCCTTCTCCCCTGGAAAGCCATTGGTCCCGGGGCTGCCTCTTTCCCCTCTTGGTCCTGCTGGTCCTTGAGGAAATGCAGAAGCGAAATGAGAGCATAAGGACGTGGCTGGGCGGCAGCAAGACCGAGCAGCGCTGCCATGCCGACGTCTGCAAGCAGGTGAGCAGGGCGGCTCGCGTGCGTGGATTTGGCGAAAGCTCGAGCCCTCCCTCCACACAAGGCCAAGGTCTTTTACAGGGAGGTAATTGATTCCCGGCTGCCACGGGGTAGCCAAAATAACCCAGACATATTGAGTTCAGCAGGGCAGCCCTCGAGGATCGTCAGGCACAGCCCTCCTCCCCCAGGTAGACCAACTCCTCCCTTTGCATCTTACCTGGTTGTCCAGTTTCGCCCTTTTCGCCCTGCATCCCAGCAGCTCCGTCCCGGCCATCCCGGCCGTCCCTGCCTGGCAGGCCTTGGCTTCCATGGATCCCGGGGGTCCCTGGGATTCCTGGCTGCCCAGCACAGAGGCTGGGGATCTTGTTGTCCTCAATCTGAGCAGAGTGCTTGGCCACGGTCAGGAGGAACAGGAAGAGTTGGACAGCATGCTCCATGTCCATGGGGCCTGGGGGATCGCAGGATTATAGAGTTGGAAGACTCCTCCAGAGATTATCTAGCTCAACCCCCTGCCGATGCTGGAAGCCCACAGCTGGTGGCCCTCCATCCTCTGCTTGCAAACCACCCATGATGGAAAGTCCCCCACTTCCAAGGCCACCTGTCCCTGCCAAAAAGCTCATGTCACCTGGGTGTTCTGCCTAACTTTTCTTCTAAATCCATTTTTGTTCTTTGAAGCTGTTGCTTTGGGCCCTTTGAGAGCAGCAGAAAACAGCTCTTTGCCATCGACCGTGTGGCAACCCTTCAAATGACTGAAGGTGCTTCCGCCACACCCACAAAGATATGCGCAGCCTACCAGACAGCGACCAGCACCTCTTGCCACAGGAATTAATCCAAGCAGTTTCCCCCAAGAAATGACAGGGATTCTGGCAGAACATGCCATAGCCTGTCAGCACAGGAGGGAGAGTCTCCTGCATGGTTCTTCTACCAGGGCCTTGCACCAGTCCTAATCCAGCTGTGAGAATACACTGTGTCTCCTAAGTCCATGAATGCATTGGATTTCCTGAAGCATGTTCTGTTTCTAATGTTTCATGCTTCTCGGCTCAGAATCCAAGGATTTCCTGTGCTGTGTTTACCAAGGAACTGAAAGTGCTGATGCGGAGGAGGCAGCCAGGAAGGACTCGGCAGACTTGCAAGGACTTCAGATGCCGTGCTTCCTTTTCCAGTCTCTCCTGGTGGAATCAGAGGGAGTAAGCCAGCCTCCCAAGTGACTAGTCCTCTAGATTGAAGCCAGGAGCTGGCTGGGCACACAGGAGGCCCTTGAACTGCATTCCTAGCAAAGAGTCTGAGAACTCCTGCTCTGTTCCCACCCTCCTTCTGCCAGCGGGGCTGTTCTCCAAGCAACTGCTCCTTTGATCCATGCTTCTTCCTCCCCTTTGCAGCACTGTCTTTTCCGTTACACACACACACACACACCAGCTCCCTTGCCCCTTTCCGCAAGGGCCTGGGTCATCCTCGGAGGCCTGGACATTTCGGCTTCAGGGTTTAGCTTTAGCTAATGACTCAGGAATGTAGCGATTCTGTCCAAAATCCTGCTTGACATTCCTCGCTGGAGCCAGCGGCCCCCGCCTGGGACTGGGGAGGTGGCAAGTGCCAGGAGAGTGGGGGGGGGGGTCGCTTCTGTATTTCCTCTGGGGCCGCTGGGATGCAGGTGGGGAGGCCGGCAGGGCAAGGAAAGGGCAGAGGCTGGATTTGATCGCTCCTTCCCCGATCCTGATTTTCAGTTTGAGAAGTCTTTCTGCAAGCCAGAGCTGAATGAGGAGCTGCATAAGCTTTGGGGTCCACCGTCCGCCTGACAGGCAGTGACCCCCTCGAGACGTGCCAGGGCTGTTCTTCAGCCCGCACTGGCTTCTGCACAAGGTAGGTTCACGCGCTGTTCTGGCCGTGCACAGGAGTAGGGAATAAGGAGCTGGGAAATACTTTTCGGGATGAAGGAATGGGCACCTTGGAGCCACTTCCCACCCTGTGCAAAGGTGGTGTGTGTGTGTCGGGGGGGGGGGGGGGGCCTACAGCAGCCCCCAAACAGTTTGTGCTGCACCCCCCCCCAGCACCCCCCGGGTGCCTGCTAACTGTTTTGGACTACAACTCCCTGGCTGGGGGATGCTGTGAGTTGTGCTCCTCCCCATAGGATGGGTGCCCCACTGGGGAAGGCTGGTCTGGTGAGCTGCTGGGATGCCAGCCCCACGCGACCCTTGTGGGTGTTTGGGAGCGCTGGGTTCAAGCCAGCTTTTGCCACCAGCTGCATGGCTGTGAAGACGTCTGTGTCTCTCAGCCTCACTTTCCCCTTTGTAAGTTTCACGCAGGGCTCCCGGTCAGTCGTGGTAGTTAACCGAAATCTGTTTACCTCCGAGAGCCAAAGGATGGTGGTAACCCAGGAAGAGGCTGGCTTTGCTGGCTTGCCGGTCTAAGAGCAACCTAGAAGGAACTGATCGGCTACCCACTGTTGGGAGCAGGGAGTCAGGGTAGAGGAATCTTCAGTTCGAGCTAGCAGGGCACTTCTCATAAGAAATAGGGCTGCCCTGCCTCACAGGGTTGTTGTGAGGGTTAATGACTGTAAAACTCTCTGCATGTTGGAACAGTCCCTGCAACTTAGCAGCAGTCTGTCGTTCATGTCTCAACAGTGAGCCGTGAAGGATGTTCACTTGCAATCACATCTCGTACAGCCGAGTGCAGCCAGGTCACACGGCTAGCCTAATGGTTAGAGCATTGAGCCAGGATCCATCTGTGAAACACCCAGGCAGATTTGGTTCACGGTGCCTTAAGGCTGTGCTCTTACGCTCGCATAGGCAGGCTGGGGGATGCTGGGAGGTCAGGAGGACTTGTCTCTCTCTCTCTAAACACGCACCCCAAGCTGCACTGTGACACCCCATCGCTTGGCTCAAAGCTTGCCTCGGCCCTGAAGGAATGATAGCGGAGGCGAACCCCTCCCTCTCTCCACCTGCCTCACCTCTCCCAGTCTGCGCAATGGGCATAATAAGTGCTAGGAAACCTCTGTCTGTCTGTGAAAGAGAGGGACATGTTTGGGATCGGCCCAAGCATTCTGCTTCCCGCATCCCTCACGCTAGCAAAACTCCTCCTTGCTGCCCGTCCCGGGAGCCAGAGAACTGAAGAGCGCTGGCTGGCCGGGGTTGCTGGGAATTGTGGTACAACACGCCTGGAGCAGCCCCGCTTTGGCGAGGCTGGTGATGGGAAATCTGATCCCCACCGAGCTGTGCAAAGGCAGCGCGGGCAGCCTCTCTCTCTCTCACCCCCCGACCCATCTCGCCAGCTCTGCTGCGGATAAAATGGCAGGGGAGCCACCTGCACGGATCTGGCCGAGCGCTCTCGGAAAACCCACGGAGGGAGCCCGACTATTTGCCCCTGGGGTCCCCATCAATGCGCACTCTGGAGCAGCCCGAATCCGGCCACTCTGATTTGAGACCGCGGGAGTGACCGGGCGCTCCCCTGGAGCATCCCTTCCCGGCAGAAGCGACCGCCTGCTTTCTGCCCGCTCCCCGGCCGGCTGATGCCCTTTCATTTTTTTGTTTTTGGCCCGGATTTGGCAGAGGGGCTCTCAGGGTCCGACACCCGCTGCTCACAGCCCGCTTCCCTCCCGAGAAGCCCCGTGGCTGCCCCGCATCTCCGGCCCGGCCGCTTCGAGGAGATCACGCTCGTCCAGCAACAGACCAACGTTGTTGCGCGTGGAGGGGGAGGGAAAACCCCAGGCGACCGACCCCCAGCCTTCCTCCCTGGCACCAAAGCCCCCCGCCAGCGGCCGGGCACGCTCACCTGTCGCTTGGCGCACGGGGCAGCCTCGATCTGCCCGGGCCGGGGAAGCGCGCGTCCTGAAGCGCGCCAGCCGCGCTCTGGTACGGGCCTCGCAGCCAGCCGGCCGACCTTCCTTCCCCCACCCACCCCACCCCTCTTCCCTCCTCTCTCTCCCCTCCCAAACTCCAAAGGAAATCGGAGAGGCGAGAGCTGAAGCCAAAAGCTACATTGCAACTGGGAACGGCTTGCTTGGAGTCTCCGAGCAACCCAGCAGGGAAACGGGGACGGGCGGACGCGCGCCTGGGGAGAGGGCAGAGAGAAAGCGGGCGGGCGGGGAGGAAGGGGCGCGTGAGCAGCCAGAGCAAGGGGTCAGGGAAAGGCCAGAGAGCGCCCTCCCAGAGTGACTCTCCCCGGCCCCCCGAAAGGAGTCAGAGGCCGCAAGGGATGGAGTCCGCGAGAGGCCTGGCTCTGCATCGCCCTGCTGCCTCGTATACCCGGAGGCCACTGGCTCTTCAGACCCGGATCCTTGACTTGGGGGTCCTAAAGGTGCTGTGGCTCCCTACACCTCCTCATGGGCATTTGGGCGGCTGCAGGCAAACCACACAAGTCAGGGAGAAGGTAGGCAGCCCTGCCTGGCCTTCCTACTGTCTTCTCTGCAGTTTTCAGCTTGCACTATTTTGCAGTACATCTTTCTATTCTGCACTTGAATATGGGACTGGGCAGGAGGGGCTGAACCCCAATAAGGGCCAAGCTCAGTTTGGTGGGGTTTCCCAGAAGAACAGAGCCCTTCCAAATGCAGGGCTTGGTGAGCCCTTGGGCAAAATGGCCTCCCTGGGCCCCCTCCCTCACTGACTCTCCCTTCTCGCCACCTTCTTCACCTTCCACTCTTCCTCTTCAGGGCTGCGCTGGCTTGCTTGGCAGATGGAGAGAGACCACGGAGTCACCTGCTTCTCCTTTCCACGCCCCCAGTAGATCTCAAGATGTTGGGGGCTTCAACCTTGATTCCTCTTTGCTAGCCTGACCAATACTGGGCCACAAAACGCAAAACACCTTGAGACCTCCTCTGTGTTGTTGCTTAATTTGTCTCTAAATGGGGGCACATAAGAAAACATTGTGGCAGCCCCCAAACAGAAAAGGTAGGCAGAGGAAAGGGGCTCCCTGAGTCTCATGGGGAGAGGGAGGTTTTGGGTTGGTTGGCATGGAGTAAGGAGATGTTTCCCCATCTTTATTTGTTTCCCACCATGCTGGTGCATGTCCCTTTTCATGCCACCGTGTGAGTAAATGGGGCCTTTTGCCTGATGCTTCGAGTGACCACATCTTATGGTGGACAAAATGCATGGAATACATCCCCTGTTCAATCCACAGTAGGATTAAAACTGTCCGTACACTGTATAAACACGAGCCGCTTGCGTGCATAGCGAGCAGAAACATGGGTACCACCCAAGACCTGATTAATAGACTGGACTTGGCACCAGATTCCTGTGTAGAACCGCCTGGGTGTTGCTCTGTTTGGACAGCGGCGGCGGCAGCAGCTGGCCAGGCGTGTCGCTCCCTGATTGCTTTTGCAGACTCTGCTGCTGCCAGCGATGATCCGCAGCAGAAACCCCGCCCTTGATTGGGGTGACGCTTCTCCGATTTAGGAACATGAGAAGAGCCCTGCGCCGTCAGAGCGGGGGCCTATCCCCACCCTGCAGTCTGTTGACACAGTGGTCCAGCAGATGCCTGTGGGGAACCCAGAAGTAGGGGTGCATGCCGGGTCACCCTCCCCCTCCGCACTCATGTTCCTCAGCCGCTGATGCTGCAAAGGAATGTGTAGCCACGGCGATCAGCAACCCGCTTTATCTTCTGCAGAGCTGTTGAGTCTTCTTTCAAGACAAGCCACAGCAGGATGGGCATCCTGTGACGGCAAATTCCATAGTTTATGGCCCTGTGATCATAGAATCCTAGATCAGTAGAGTCAGAAGGGTCTAGAAGGCCATCGGGTCCAACCCCTGCTGTTTCAGGGCGCCACATCACACCATCCCACTCAGATGACCATCCAGTTTCTTTCTGAATGTCTCCAGTGTGGGAGAGCCCCCCACCTCTCCAGGCAGCTGGTCCCACTGTCGTATTGCTCTGACAATGAGGAAGCTTTCCTGATGTCCAGCCAGAATCTGGTTGTCGCAACTTGAACTGATTATGTGTGCCAACATCTTCTTGGCATACATTCAAGAAGTCCAGCATCCTGCAAAACTCAGGAAATTGTGCTAAGTTTGGCAAGATATACATAATTTATAGAGGATGCATTTGGCTTCCTTTGACAGTGAATTTTGAAGGGGTTTGCTTGTTTTAAAGACACGTGTGATCCTGAGTGAAGGGCACAGCTGGAAAATAAATTTGCATAAATGCATAATCCAGTAAATTGCTAAGTGCAATAGGGTGCTGCTTTAAAGGGCTCTACAGGAGATTTTTGTTTGCTAAGGAATAAACAAGAATTATTATACAAACTAGCACCAGATTAATGGACTCTTAGCAAGTTAATCGTATATCTTTTAATCAGTTAATCAATCAGTGAAATGAATTCTCGCATGGCATTGTCTCGATGGACAAAACATTTTTGCTTGTGCAACTGCGTACAACGTCTCGGAAGAGGCTCTTGCCCCCTCTGAAAGAGAAGGGCCTTGCATTTTCAAGTAGGTACATTCAAAGCCATTAACAGACTTGTAAGAATCTCCTACCCTATTCGCTGGGACCACCTTTTAAAATCATAGAGTATTTTAAATCGAGGAACCAGGTTTTGCAGCTTCAGTTATGAGCTCAGGCCCTGCAGCTTCTGTGGTTTTTTAATTATTGGCAGCATCATTTATATCATGCCATCAAAGTGCATAGCGATTTATGAAAGATGTAGGAACAGGTCCCTGCCCCGGCATGCTTTCAATCTAAAATCAAATGCGGATGAGGAAACAGATGGCCAAAAGAAGGAAGGAACTGTGAAAATGGCTCTCAGAACTGCCTCCTGTTGCCGAAACTCCATTGCACTGATTCCTTAGAGCAAGGGTGGGAAACCTCTGGTCTGCGGGCCAAATCTGCCCCTCCCAGGGGGCCCTGCCTGCCTTTCCTGATCCTTTCCCCACCCTCGGTTCTCCAGGTTTTGGGGATTGTACCTCCCCATGCTCACCTGTTGAAACACCCTTCCTGGAGCAAGGCACGTGGCTAAATATGCCGGCATTGCTGGGACTTGCCCCCTCCCCTTTTGCCTCTGGCCCCAACCCCAGCAGAAGGCAGCTTCCGAGAGCTTCTCCGAACTGGGATTCAGCGCTTGGGTTGTGTGGCCAGGGAGGCCTTTGGGGGTGGGGCTGCCCCCAGGAACTGGCTGAGAGAGCACCGCCCTCCCAGCCGGGCGATGCGATGGGAAGGCTGTGCTGGCCTCGGAAGGAAGGACGGCAGCCAGCCGCTCATGGCAGGAAGCACTCCAGGGGGTTGCTGGAATCGGGAAGGACGTTGCAGTTCAGGGGCCACGGCACGCCGAGGAGGCCGAGGGCTTGTTGGCAGCGCTGCTCAGCCTCCCGGCACACGGACCGGCACGGCTGCAGGACGCCTCCCTCCGGCGTGCATTTCGGGACGAAAAGGCCGCACATCAGCAGGCGCAGGTGCGGGTAGCAGGTGAGCTCCCTCAGCATCTGGAGAGGGAGGCAGGGAACCATCAGGCGCCTCATCCTTGCTGCGCACAGCAGCTGCCGCTCTGCATCTCTTCTCACGCGCCCCCCCGCCCCGGAAGCCACCAGCCCTCTTTTGCGCAGGACAGTTACCAAACAGTCCGAACCCAGCCAAGATAAGAAACCGTGGCTTGTTGAGCAGAAACTACCCATGAAGGGAACCCATGGCTTGTGGACTGTGGGCTGCTTGCCACAGTTTGTGATCTCGACTGGGTTTAGCCAACACGATGACCCCCATTCAATGGCTGAGCATGAATTGTGAGTCTCTGGTTCAAGCGCCGCTTTGTTGGCGGTCTTTCCCAGGAGCCCATGCAAGCAGCGTCTTTGGGGTGGGGTGGGGAAGGGGTCAATGGACCACCTGTGAAGCAGCGGCTCATGGAATGGAGTGGAGACGTCTTTGCTTTATGTGCACATTGCCAGGACATGGTAAGAAAAGCCCAGCATGTGAGGGTTGTTCCCGGGAGCACAGTGCTAGGATGCAGCAGCATTGAGCTGGGCCTGAGCACCCTGCTGGCCTCTTGCACTCTCCTCCTCCCAATGGGCATCGTGAGGACAAAAGAGGCCACTGAACACTGAGTCAGATTAATGGTCCATCTAACCCAGTGTTTCCAACACTGACTGGCAGCAGCGTCTCCCCAGGGTTTCCAGCAGGTTCTTTCCTAGCCCTACCTGGAAATGCTGGGGGTGCAACCAGGAACATTTGGCATGCAAGCAAGTCCTCTGCCACGGAGCCGGGCTCCCTGCCTTCTCCCGCAGGGCTAGGACGGCTCAGGGAACAGAGTTACCAGTGGGGAGATGCAGGAAGCCGTCTTGCCCAGGATTGGGCCCCATGGCTCTCCAGGGTTTGGGGCAGGACCCTACCTGGAGATGCCTGGAACTGAACCAGGAACCTGTGACATGCAAGGAGGGGCTCTACCCCTGAGCCGAGGCCCCTTCCACAAGCAGAGAGCATCCATCCATCCATCCAGCCAGCCAGCCAGCCAGCCCTGCCCTTCCCTCTTCCCCCACCTTGTGCCAGGCTCACCAGATAGTCTTGGAGCAGCTCCTCGGCCCCCTGCTGATCTGGGATAGTCATCCAGATGTTAGGAAAGGAGGTGGTGTTGTAGCTGAGACCCAAGCACATCTCCACCTCGACCGGCTCGCAGAGTGGCTCTGTCAGCAGAAGGACAGGGGGGCCCTCTGGGGTGAATGGCGCAGGAGCATGTGGACCTGCTGGGCCCATGAGGTGGGCGTTCCCTCCCACCCATGTTTCTGGGGCTGAGGCTGGAGTCCGCAAGGCACTAGTGACACCAACACCGTGTCTTCTTTTTCCAGCTTGTGCCAAAGGGGCTGTGAAAGCCCTGAGCCGGCGCACGGGTGCAGTAGCGAACGGGATGTGGCAAGGAGCTCTGAAGCAGGGCCGGCTGGCATCCTGAACAGGAGCCAGTGTCAGGAGGTGAGGAGAACACATTTGCAGTAGACAATGTGGTTTATATTGTGCTTTGGAGCGCTGGTCTCCAGCCTAAGCTGGGCCACAGGTGGATCTAAGATGGGTTTGACCAGCTGCACCATCAGATGTTCTCTCTGGCTGAAAATTAAGCAGGATCCCTGTAATTAATGTTTGGGTAGAGTTGGTCTGAAAGTGCTGAGGGCCTGAAGGTGTCCAAGTGCTCCCCATACAGTATTAGGCAGCCACTGCCCTACCTCAAGGGGTGGTACTGTTGGCCTCACCTAAGAGATGGAGAGGCGGAGTGGGATGGCTTGCCTAAGGCCAGCTAATGCGGTCGTGGTGCAGGTGAGACCTGCAAGGGGAGGAACAGAGTCTCGCAGGAACTTCCTTCCGGAGGCAGAGCGGCCACTCACCAAGGGAAGGGTAGGAGACCCTGGTGCAGTTGAGTTCGTCACTTCCGTCGGGGCAATCGTGCCAGCCATCACAGGCCACCTCCTGTGGCCGGCACTCACCATTGTTGCAGGCAAACTCCACGGGGCTGCACGTTTCTGGAGATGCAATGCGAGAGAGGATGTAAGACTTGGGGCTTAGCTTGAGCTCCAGCAGCGTCGGCAAGAGAATTGAGCTCCGACGGCCAATTCAGCCTGGAGAACGAGGAAGGATCAGCTGCTCTGATTTTCAGATTTGGAGATGGGTTGTGTTTCCGCCTCTGCCACTGAGGCTTTTTGCTTTGGAGAACTAACAACTTCTGTTGCTCATTGAAAACATGATAATCCTGTAGATGTGGCTCAGAGGCTATCAAAGCAGAAGTGTTTTGCCGGGAGAGATCTCAGTGGAAGGAGGGGCTGAGGAGCTAATAGAACCTGTGTGAGAGGGCAGAATGTGTGGGGGGCAGGTGTGGTCACTGCTTTGCATCTCCAACCCTTGGGGGCTGTTAGGGTGTGCAAACCAAGCAACCATGGGTTGTGCAAAGTTTAAACCATCTTCACCTATTCCTGGAATAAACCATGGGTTATGCAAAGGTTGTTTAACCCTCATATAACCTATACTCAGCAGGTTCATATGTTATGACACCACACTCAGGTCCCTGTACTTGAGCAACAGTTGGATTGTTAAAAGGTGCCTGTGGGCCCCACAACTTCTCATGGGTCAAACAGCCTGCGATGACCCTTGCCCTCTGTGAACCAGCTCTCCTTGTGTTTGTGGGGGTGTTAGACTTGCATACTTTTGAACATACTTTTCCATTTCCTATAAAATTGCTGTTTTGTTCCAGCCAACACCCATATTCCCAGGATTCTATTTGCAAGCATTGGTTGCAAATTGCTGCAAAGTATTGTGTGTGAGGCTAGCTTTGAAGATGCTTCCAAAACTTGCCAGGTTACCAAGAGGGACTGGAGATGCAGCCGCCTGATGCCAGTCTTTGCCAGCTGCACTGGCTTCCAGGCCATTTCCAAGCCCAGTTTGTGGTGCGGTGTGGTGTGGTGTGGATCAGCCCCTTATCTGCAGCCACATCTTCTCCTGCATATCCCTGCTGGGACCCTGAGGCCATCTTCAGAGGCGTACCCTCAGGTGCCCCCATCAATGGGTGGGGGTAGCTTTAAGAGGCCTTTGTACCCACTTAAGGAATAAGCTCTCCAAAGAAGATTTCCTGGCTTTTAAATTTTTTTGTTTTGCTATCTGTGTGGTGCCAGACAAATGCTTTCCTTTTCAATCAGGCATTTTAAGAGACCTAGTTTTAGGTTATCCTGGCTGTTTTATCAATACCTTTGCTGTTTACTGTTTGTATAGTATGGCAAACAGTATTTGCACTGGAGGTGTATTATGCACTGTGCTCTAATGGGATTTTCATCTTCTAACGGGCTGCAATGTGCCCAGAAGACCATAGCAGCTGGGTGGATTAGACATGCACTGGCTGAAACAACGGTGGGCCCTGAACACCCCAGTGCCTTGACCCCAACATCACTGCAGCAGCGATTACTTGACCTCCGCTTACTTTGCTCGACCTCTGCAAGGGTTTCTCTCTCTGGCTTAATCTGCGTGGCAACTCAGGTTCTGCAACACATGTTTGCATGTTCCTAGAGTGGACCAGTGACTCATTGACTGTTTAGATTGCAATTTTCAAAGTTAAGATGCCCTCGGGGGACAACAACTAAAGCTTCCGAGCTTCAGAACGCAGTAGCTGTTTCATCAACAATTTACATTTTGCTCAAACTGGTAACCTGTGTGCAGAACTTCCCACCAGACATGGGAACCTAAAAACTTACAAAATCTAGTTTGTTTGTTTTTAGCATATCAACAACTGTCAATTTTGAGGTCTCTTTTTCTTCTTTCTGTTTTTGTGTCTTTTGTTTTGGTGAGATTCACGACTCATGGGAACGTATCAGAATTGGAGAATCCTTTGTCAGAAACACTGAATCAGTGGATCACGACTCTGGCATTTCCCACCTGCATCCACAGATATTAGGCTGTGCTTTCTTTAAGCCGGCAACATTTAACCCTTTTGAGTGGGGGGCTTATTCCATGGATCCTTTTTCATTTTCTCTGATTCTATGGTATAACTGGGTGTCCTACATCAGCAGCGGGTTGGACCAGATGGCCTTCTTGGCCCCCTCTGACTCTATTGTTCCATGAATCTATAATTCTGTGCTGGAAGAGCCTTTAATATTCCCCAATGTCTATGGTCTTTTCAATTATTTACCTTCATGGAGATTAACAAACAGAGGAGGAAATGGATTCTTTGAGCTCTTTTGAAAGCTAAAAGGCTGTTATTGCAACATTGGAAGGATGCACGTCTCCCATCGTACAATCGTTTGAGTGCCCCGTGATACTCTCAGTATTTGCATGTGTTGCATAACACGGGTGCCACCTTCAAACAGATTTATTTGGCAATTTGGTCTATTTTTCTTAAAGCTTCTGCATAATTGCTACCAGTTTCATGCATTCCTTGCTATGGATGTATACAAACCAAGCATGTTTGTTAAACATGGTGGGGAAACCCTACAAACTGGGAAAAAAAGCAACTTGTGAGTTGGCTCCACTTATGTCCTGCAAATAAATATTTGCAAAGACATGCTATGACTCTGGTGCTCGAGGGAGTAGGGAGTGCTGAAGTGCACATACTGTAGGTCTGGTTCTGGAATCAGATATAAACTTCGGCCTTATTGAGATGTTACAAGCCTTGCACAAAAAGCCAAGCTCTGAGGGGTTATAAAGCCATTCCCATTAGGGATTTCCCAATGGGACATTTCTGCTGTGAAGAGACTAAGCAGTAATTATGGAAACCAGCAAACAAAACCTCTAACTGCCAGAGAGCAGGCAATTCCAGAAGGCCTGGAGTATGGGAATAAGCGAACGCTGATCTTCTCAGGGGATGTGGCTGAACCTTCCCCACCTGCCTGAGTGCCATCTCAATATTTTAATTTCTGCAGTGGAGAACTCTGCTCCATTGCTGAGAGGAACGGAAAACTGACATGGCAGGATGGAAACCAGAGTCTTCCTGCTATCTGGCTTGTGCTTGCTGGGGCAGGTGCTGTCGTCCCGCGGGGACTGAGCACCCTCTCTCCAAGGTTCAGCTTCCTTTGCGAGAAAAAGCAACCTTCAGCCCCTTCTTGTCAGCAGCATGTGCCAACATTTCCACCCCATTTTCTCGCTACCCAGGTAAACCCGTCCAACGTCCTAGCACTGGCCACCCTCCCATTCAGCCCTGGCTCATGGGCCGGACCGAGGCCTCACCACTTACTCTCCACGGCGCTGTGTGCCCGGTAGATGGCAAAAAACCCATCGTCCGTGATGCCCTCATCTGCCACAAACAGGACCGTCATGACATGTTGTGACGAGGTGAGGCGAGGAGGCACATTGGAACTGCAGAACCTGGAAAAGAGGAGCAGGGACTGGATGTGCAGAGAAGCAGCCACGTTATTTTGGGCTGGGGGCTGCTGCTGGCTTTGGGGGTCTGGAGGGAAAGCAAGCACTGAGCACTGTTTGGCGTGCACCCCCTTTCCCCAGTGCATGGCACCACAGCCGTGTTTATTTTGCTGCTTGTATCAACTTACTGTCCTCATGAACTGCTCCATAACACATTCTCAGAGAAATGAACAGTACAGAGAGCAAAAACATCGAGGGGGAAAGTTCTGCCTCTCAGGAACTGGCAAATGTATAACTCTCCAAGCAGAGAGAGGCTTTTGATTTAACTCTCTCCTTTTCGCATTTCTGTGGGTTTTGTTTTCGTTCTTAATGCAACAGCTCTGTGGAATATAATTGGGAATAAGCATCACAGACCAATGTTTATGATTTGCGTTCTCCACCCACTCCATCCTTTGTTTTCTGTTTTGCATTTACTGTTCACTGCTCTGAAAACATGCCATGGAGCAATTCATAGGTCATAGACTCGTGTGTCAATTTGTATGTCTTATGGAGGACACAGATGTGCATGTTTAAAGCATTGGCTGTGTGTACACACCACCACCTGTATATTCAGTGCTCAGATTGACAAGTGTGCTTGGAATCATTGCGGGAAAACAAAGCCAAGAGAAACCACATAGAGCTCAAACATTAATACAAACCGGTTTTCCATACTTCAGTAACATCAGCTGAAAAAAATATTGCAAACATCAAGGCGAGGAACGCTCCGAAAATTCGGGAGAACAAAGAACAGTCTCTGACCAGCATCAGACAAAATGTCAGCAGAGACGCCAGGCAAACCTCACTTAAAACCAGATGTGAAATTGGCCCTGGTGGGGGAACAGAAGCGAAGCCGGGAAAGGCGAAGCTGGGAAGGAGAGCAAGGTTCATTCCTCCCGGTCTTGGTCGCTGAGGTCGCTCATTCCAGATTCACGCTCCCCGCCTGAGCCAGGCTGGCTGGAAACATTTGTGGGAATCGCTGTGTTCAGGAGACAGCGGCTGCGAAAGGCGCCCACCCACTCGGGAGCAGGATGTCCTCATACCTGCCCATGACGCTACTGGTCCCCATCCCTGCGCTGTCGTACACTTCCACAAAGTCGTAGTTGCAGTCTTCCTGCGACTCCAGGCTGAAGTTGAGGAAATGCAAGTCGATCACGTGGCCCTCGGGCACCGAGATATGCCAGAGACAGAGCTGGAAGGAAAGGCAGGATCAGGTGCTGGTGGGGCTCCCCACTGGAGCATGGAGCGGGGGTCTCTCTCATGCAGCCTTCCCCAACCAGGCCCTCCAGATGTGTGGGGCACCAAGTCCCAGCAATCCCCGGCTGGTGACCCCATTTTTCTGCCCCTTTGTGCTGGTTTTAAGGGTGTGGAGCTTGGAAGGAGCTGTAAGAGAGGCAGCTAGAATTGCAGAGGCAGGCCTGAGGAAAAATGGGGAAATAAAATGGGAAAAAAGGAACCCTCCCCTGTTTTTGAGCCCCTCTCTGGGTTTTTTGCCTTGTTTTGTTTTTAGAAAATTTAGAAGATAAATTTCCTTCACAGAGATAGGGAAGCGGCGGATCTCCTGTCCAGCCCATGAGCCGACTGCAGCTGACACTCACCTGCAGATGTGGATATGGCTGGGGGTAATTTGGGGAGAAGAGCTGTCCCTCCAAGCCGGTCAGTGTTCCCCCACAGCCTGGAAGGAGAGAAGACATTACGGTGAGGGACGGTCCTGCAGCACAGGCCTGGGGCTCGCCCCGCTTTGCCTGCGCTGATTCATAGGCAGGGGCGTCTGCTGAAAAACGAGGGCCATCGTGTAAGTGAAAGCCCTGGCTTTAAGGAGGACTAGACTGGCATGCGGAGGGCGGGAGGTCTATCCATGGGAAGTCATCCATATCGCTAGGGATATATATATACGTATGGTATCCATATATGCATATACATATATGCATATGGTGTGTGTGTGTGTGTAGAGAGGATATGACCCTATATAGAACCTTCATAGATCCTTCATCAAGGCTGAGGCCGCCCCACAGACTCTCTTCTGAGAGCCCTTTCAAGGGAGAAGGGTTCCCTCTGGAAAGCAGGAGACATGGGCCACCATGTTTGGGCCCCAGCCAGCTAAAACCGATCTGGGTGGCATGAACTGGCAACGTGCTCGATTGCAGGGGCAGAAGAGCCACAGAAATCGAGGGCTGTGGCCTTCCGGCTGGCTTATGAAATGCCAGATTCATCTTCCTGGTGCTGCAGAAAGCGAGGTGCTGGCGCTTGCTTCAGGTCCAGGCCAAGGGGAAGAGCAACAGGCACAGCGTGGTCTGCTCCGGGCAGGGCAGAAGAAGGCTCCTGTCAGGACAGTGCCCTGGCAGAGGGTTCTCCCGTGCGGAATTGCTGTCCCGGCAAAGGGTCGCTTCAACGGAGGCCAGAAGGAGCCTAGCAGAACCTGGTCTTTTGGTGGCCCTCTTCTCACAGCCCTCGGTGCACTCTCGCGCAGAAGAAGCTGCAGCGAGGGCATCCTCGGGATGGGAATGCCACATCCGCAGGGTAGGAATCCGCCGCAGGGGGTGCTGAGGTGCTCCCTGAAGTGGACCCTGTTTGAATCTGGGTCCCCCGTTGGGGTAATGTGCAGTCTCAGAACTGGGGCACAACAATCCTGGGCTAGGTAGACAGCAGGTCTACTTAGCAGAACACCTTTAGATGTTCCGTGTCATCCCTGGAAAGGCACGTGGCCCTGTTGCTTTTGAGTTTGTTCCTTCCACAGTCGTGTTTGCCACCCCTTTGTGCTCCCCCCTTCCCTCCTACAGTCCTTTGAGTCTCCCCTTACGGGGTTCGCCTGTGTTGCTACTGCGAGTCGTACCTTTGGGTTTCATGCTGCAATTCGTTTCATCTTTCTTGTCGTAACAGTCTAGGTATCCATCACACACTTCAGTGGGGAGAAGGCACCTTCCTTGGTCACAGAGAAACTCATCCCAGGAACAGTTTTCTAGAACAGACAATTTTGCCCAGAAGGACAAGAAGCAAAGAATTCAAACTGGCTTGTTTTGGAACAAGTTTTAACTGTCAAGATTTCTCCCTCCTCCCTAAGAGACTTATAGTTGGGAATGACAGTTGAATCCACTTTCAAATCCATGCATGATTGTAGACTAGCTCTGTCCTGCACTGAACTAGAACTTTCCCCTTTGTTCTTTCTTGAGAACAAAATTAGCCGAGGTACTCACTTGGCTAGAGTTTATAACTCCATGCTTGGAGAATTCAGACTGAATTTTCAATCCCCTTGTTCAAGTGGAGATAATTATCATTGTAATTTCAAATAACAGTGGCAAAGCCTTTTCCCTTTCTGCCTGCCATGCTGGAATTGCCTCCCAGGAAATCTGCGTGTCATTGCTTCTAACGTATAGCCACACAGTTCCCCAATTTCTGGTATCCCCACCAATGCAGTGTGCTTACTTTCACTGGGCAAGATGGCCCGATACCTGGCCCTGAATCCCGAAGCAGCAATATTATCATCAGACACAAAGATGACTTGCAACCGGCTGGAGTTGGTGTTGATTGTTGCAGGTGCCACGGAGCCGCAGTACCTGCAAAAGCCACCAGGGAAGGGAGGGAGCCAAGGGAAACAGCTAAGCGGTTTCCCATGGCCCCCAGGAGGGAGAAGGGAGGCATGGACCGCAGGGGTGCCCAGCCTCAGGCCTGAAGGCTAAACAGGCACACGTGTGGGCCACATAGAGCCCACACAGGGCTTGCGCTTTTCTATGAAGGAAGTAAATAATTTTAAAGAGCATGTATAGCCGTGAAGATTCAGGATTTGTCTGTGTGATAGACTTCTTCCAAAAAGAAGCAGCTCCTGAAAATTTCAAAATATATGTTTCCAAGAAGCATAAGCCATCTTACACCTCCAGCAGTGACAGCCCTTTATTAGACAGACTCTCTTATCAGAGAGACTGCCCAATAAATAAGAAATAAATGCATAAGGTACAGCCCAAAATCCACAGATGCGGCAGGTAAATGCCAAAGCAGTAATCTATTGAGCAGGCATTTTGTAGTGAAGCTCACAGCAACTGCTTAAACTGTCCACAAGAGTTTTAGTTTTCAGATTCCCAAATGCTCCCATGGGTCCAAACATCAGGGACCCCTGAGACGACAGGGCAGGCCAATGTCACCCTGTGAGTTTCCAGCCAAAGTGGGGATGTGAACCTGCCTCTTCCCAGGCCAGGTGAACACACCAACCACTGCACCACACTGCCTCTCATCAGCCATTGGTGATGTTACGATGTTTTGAAAGAAAACCATGGTGCCAAACACTGAATTTGGCCGGATAACACCTCACACAGGTATGCAGAATCTCACTGAATCCCATTGCTGAAAAGCACAGGGTGGGTGGAGGCTCAGGGCAAAGGAGGGGGAGCAAACACCACCCCAGTTTTGCTTGAAGCTGGCAATGAAGCCTTTTGAAATGTGAGAATGGGGAAATGGCACACAGGCCAGGAAATCCCCCCGGTTGGTCAGGGAAAGGGGGCACACCTCTCCAGGGGAGCCCAGGCGTTCAGATTTGGCCCCAGTCTGAAGTTCTTACCCCGCATTTACTTCCGGCTTCAGAATTCCTCAGGAAAGCAGCTCCTCCCCTGCCTCAGGCTTCATCGCTATGTGCGCAGGTGTGGCCTGCCCTCCTTACCTGGCGCTTCCATCCCAGATGGAGGAAGCATCTTGCTCCTTGTAGATCTCCAGGCGGTCGTAGAGGCACGAGGCTGAATTCTCCACGTCCAGCAGCTCCACCTTGAGCTGGATGGCCATCCTGGCGGCCACCTGGATGTGCCATTTGCACCGGCTGTTGGGAGGGTAGTGGGCGGGGTGCTGTGGGGAGCTGAAGGAGCCCCCTGGCCCACGTAGGATGCCCCCACACGCTGCAGGGGGAGAGAGGAACAGGCCCCCTCAGAGAGGGTTTGGAGAAGCAGGCGCTCTGCTGCCGGGGGGGGGGGGCACGGCTGAACGGAGGCAGCAAATGGCCAGCGAAGGGGAGACAGGGTGGTGCAGTGCTTAGAACAGCCTCCTTCCGCCTGTGCGCTGGGGATAATGCGGGGTGTAGTCGGGCTACTCACGGGGTGCCGGGGATGTGGTCCCACGTGGTTCTCCCTGGGAGGAGGGTGCGACTGTTGCTGTGGGGCTGGGGCTGGCGGTGTGTGCTGAAGCCGCGTGGGTGGCAGGGTGGTCGTAAGGAGCCACGGAGGAGGGTTGGACGAGGGCACCGGCTTTCGGCTCTGCAGCCACGAGAGGAGAATTCAGAGGCACAGGATGGGGAGGGTGGGGTGAGGACGGGAGGGGGCCGAGACTCCGATCCCAGTGGCTCCCCAGGCCGCCTTGCACCAGCCCCCACCTGCCACGCTTACGTCGGCCTTGCGCACATGCACGTTTTATTAAGAATGCGGCGACATTGTGGCAGGTTTACCTGCCACCTTGGAGAGCAGTGCTATTCGTGATACCCATCAAAGGGCTGACCCGTGGCGTATTTTTGTGCCTCAGCTCATCCAAGCAGCCTCCAGTGGCTTACCTATAATCAGTTAACAAGATAGTCCCAGCCTGCAGGTTTGCAATCAAAAAGGCACCACATACAAAGAAAGAATGATGGGGAGGAAAAACTGAATTGGTAGGTCTGGTGGGACATCTGTGTCTCAATCCCTCCCTCCCTCCCTCCCTCCCTCCCTCCTTCCTTCCTTCCTTCCTTCTCCCACAGCTCATCCCAGAAAGCTGTGCTTGGCTTGTGATCGCAGTAACTGATGAAGCACCTCTCCCAGCCTCAGTCTATCCAGATGCCATGTTCAGCATCTGGGGCCTTCATCGGAGGGCCGACTTGGAGGAGGCTCAGAGAATGTGACAAGAGGGAGGACTCCTTTCCCTCTTCCCTCCCCTGCCATTTTCCTTGTGTGTCACACCAGTTTAGATTGCAAGCCTGCAGCCAGGAACAGCCCTGCATTAATTTTTATACGGAAGCCAGTCCGGGATATGTTTTGGCTGGAGAGTGGGCTCAAAGCACGGTGAATTTAGAAAAGCATGGTAGCAACTGGACATGATGGAAGTGGCAGAGTCCCAGCTGGGCACACAAGAGTTTCCCAAGTGGAGCCGCTTACAGCCTCGGGGCGCTTGAAGGAGCCACAAATGGAGAGAAGCTCCCACGAAGGAGGCATCCCCGGGAAGGGAAGTAGTCGGGCCTGGAACTTACGGGAGACGACAATGACGCCCACCAGTAAGGCCAAGAGCAGGAGGAGTACGGTGCTGAGAATGGCCACGCAGAACCAGGAGAACTTGCAGTCCGGCCTGAACTTCCGACTCGCTGAGTCCTGGACCTGTTTGGCTGCAGGCAGAGAACCACTTGTGGGTCACCGAAGCCAAGCCCAAAGCACGCGCTTGCTGATTTAGGTGGACAGAGGCACATTGAGAAAGTAACAATAAGGCTTTGAACAGAAACACAGCACATGGGAGACCGTGCCTGGCATGGCAAATTCATGGCTCTTGGAGTGGTCCTTAAAGCTGGACTTGGCCTGGGAAACCTTTCACAACAGGGCAGACCTCTGGAAGCCCTTCATGCGGGCTTTAGATGCAGGAGTGAAATTGCAAGGGAGCGACATTGTTTTAAAAGCCCGACAACAGCCGTGAGCAGTGGGTGAGAAGCACGCCACAACTGCCTAGGGTACCGAGTCCAGCCCTGCATATTTATTGATTTAATTTTTATAATGCCCAATAGCTGAGGCTCTCCAGGCAGTTAACCAAAGTTAAAATTAGATACAGGTTCAGCGCACGCACGCACATTAACTCAAACAAGCAAAACCATGATTGCGATTGCTATGATTCAGCACAGACGCAGAGCAGTGGCACACAATAAAATGGAATATATAAAAACAACGTTAACAAGTTGGATTCTGTAAAATGCTGGGGAAATCGAAAGGTTGTCACCTGGTGCTGGAAAGAGTACAAAGCAGGAGGCAGGTGCCCCTTTCTGGGAAGCTCACTGAGTTATTAAAACATCTGCATTTCCTCCTAAGCTTCTGGCCCAGGGAATATGTCCTGTGCCTCCCCCACACCAGCCCTCTTGCAAACACCGACTGGCCCACTGGCAGTACCAAAACCGTTGGCCGTGAGCTTCACACTGCTTCTGCTTTCGCCGTCCAGTTGCTTTGGGGGCACTCCTTCTCCATCCTCCTCAAAAGCGGGGTTGGAGAATTCGGTGAGCAGGAATCGCGGCAAGGGAGGTGCACCCAGGGAGCCAGCCCTTTCCTGCAGAAAACCAAGCGGCCGTGAGACAGGCATGGGAGGTCTGGGCCAGGGGCAAAAGAACAACTGGAGCAGAAAATATTTAGAACAGAAATCCCGTCCTGAGCGTTTGTTCAGTGTCTGGCACAAACCTAACAACATGAGACACTGCCGAGAATTTTAGAAGCTTGACATCTCTGTCTGCGACGAAAGGGAAGCTCGCCTTGTGGAGAGAAAGCAGCCGGAGCAGCGAGATGATGCCGGCTTGCCCCTCCACGCTCCCTTCCTGCTGGACAGGCCCTGACAGCGTGGCTTCCGAGAGAGAAGGAACACGCTGGATCCGCTTCTGCATACTTTCACAATAGGATAATTGGGTTTATTTTTAGGCGAACTTGCAAGCAGGCGCTTTTACATTAACCCAGGCCATAAGGAATAAATAACATGGTACTATCAGCGATATGCTCAAAAAAGCCACAGGGCTAATCGCTTTCATATGGGAGATTTCTGGATGCTCGGAGCACTTGGTCTCTGATCTCAGACCACCTTGCAGCAGGGGAGGGAAACTCGCTGCTGTGTGTACCGATCCTCCCCCACGCGACCTATGTCTCCTACTTTTTTCTTCTTAATGGAAACAGGTTTCCTTGCTGTGAAAACAGTGTGTGCTGGTGCTGAAAACACGTGGGTCAGTCTTTAGCATGTTGGGCTCAGACCCCACCTCTGCTTTCCTTTCTGTCTTTCCTCATCCTTTTGTTCTGCTTCCCAAAGCAGCCGTTTTGGCTGGCTGTGCCCAGAATCATTTTCCATATTGCCAAAGGCTCCCGTGACCCACAAGGTTTGCCTTCCCCTGCGTTTCAACAAAGCATTTCCCCCATGTGACCGAGGGTGGTACCGTGTCTGGGAGGTCAGAAATGGGGAAGCTGGCAAACTTTTTTCCAGCTGCTCCATATATGTAGTGCATGCCTCCGTGTTTTCCCACTTATTTATATGTTTATACTATTTATTCGACATTGGATATTTTGAAAAATCCCGATGTGGCTTCCATAGCAATGCCTTAAACTCCCTTCATGCTGCCTTCAGATGAATGCAGCCAAGCAGCTCCAAACCCTGAAAGCACATAACCGGGAAGAGGGGCCTTTGCGGTGTGGGCATCTTTGTACACTGCAACATTTCCCAATGCAACACAGGGGTTGCTTGGCTCATTTCATGCCACCAGCAAGGGCCTACGCTGATTTTGCGTGCCAAGTTCATTCATTCCACCATCTTCTCTCTTCTCTTGATTTACAAGCTGGGGAAGAAGGCAGAGCAAAGTTGTAGTCTCCTGGATCTTGATCCAGGGGCTGGAAAACTATCGGCTGCCTTGTAAATTAGGGGCAATATGTGAAATGTTAGGCTGGGTGCTGTCAGGTACTTTACAAGGCAGTTCTTCTGCTCAGTGGGACTGATTTTCCACTGCCTTAGCTTTGATGCAAGCCAACCCTGGAGGCTATCTCACTACTGGGATTTAATTTTACAGATTCCGGTGAGAGACCTGAAGCCCAAAGCATGACAAAGCTAGCAATTTGCACAAGAAGCTTTTTTTTTTTTTTTTAAGTTACATTTTGGAAAGAACAGCCACAGAAAAATGGAAACAAAACCAGAGCAGCAATTTTGGCAAGCAAGAGTAAAAGAAAGGAATGACTGTAAACCCAGGGACAATAGCTGGCCAAATAGGGTGCTATGCTTTATTTATTTGATGTATTATTCAGTGATTTCCTCTGGCTAATATAACAGTGGGTGTTCTGCGTGGCATGCATGGAATGGGTACTGATAGGTAGGATTACAGGGTGGGATATAGGCTGACTCTCAAAATCCAGAAACGATTCTAGAGCCCCTTAGGCTGAAAGGAACGGCATTCTTTCTGTTCATGGTTTCTGCATTTGCTCTGATGGTTACCCATGTTGGGGTCATGGACAAAGGGCCAGCCAAGTGGGATGGCCACAAGCCAGAAGCATGATGTCGGGAGTTCTGGTCTTCTGCAGAGTTCTGCTGATTTGGGGAGATCTTAACTGCCATTCCACCAAGTCTTTGCAGGATGTGGAAAAGCGCGTCTGTTCCACTCCATGCCCTGGTTGTGCATTTATTGGGCTTTTCGGAAACTCTGCCGTTACATCCCCAGAACATCCGTTCCTCCTCAGAAGCCCTGATCACCATTTCGTCTTGCTGGCAACATTATCTGCCCTTTGCTTCCGTGTCTGGACTCATCTCGCGAGTCTATTTCTTGGGCGCTCCCCCAAAGACCAAGCTTCATTGCACACACTGTCCTTCATGTCTCCCAGTTGGCTTTGAGCTCACGGACACAAAAACAGCTCCCTCTCTCCCAATTTTTCAGCCCTCTCCTGCTGGTAATTCTGCATGCAACGTGTTTCCATTCAGAAGTCAGGATTTTTTTTTTTTAACCACATAAGGAGGGCATTATATGTATTTATGTAACAGGAAGAGGGAGTCAGGACTATGACCGTGATGTATGTACAAATCTGGATTGAATGTGTTCTCCTTGTGTTAAGCTGGGGGTGGGGAATGCAAAACATGCTGAGAGACAATGAGGTGTAGTGGTTAAGGGGGTGGGTCTGGGACTTGGGCAATCCGGGTTCTAGCTCCCACTCAGCCGACCTTGCCCCAGTCACAGATGCAGCCTACCCCACAGGGTTGTTGTTGTTGTGAGAATAAGATTAAAAGCAGCAGGAGGAGAACGAGGTAAGCCACTCTGAGTCTTTCAAAAAGAAAAAGTTGCCGTATAAAGCTAACCAATCAACTAGTCAATCAATCCAGACCTGCGCTTCCCTCTGAAAGGAAAATTCCCTTTTATTCCAGTGGTAGTTTCCTTTGAAGGGATGTGGGGAATTTGGGAGTGAGCAGCAGTGGGGAAAGTTGATCCGTTGCTCCCCTGCTGCAGCCTTGATGCTGATTTCCCTACTACTGCCCCTAAATGGCTGCTATTTAAGATAGCAAAAATGCAAGCGTGTCTAATACACTGGATTAGGTTGAAAACAAGCCAGCAAGCAAACAAGCAGGCAGGTTCACACAAAAAAGGATCATGCTCAAAAAGTGCTCCTGCATCTCTGAAGGCCACCCAGTGAGAGCCATGGGTAGCCCGGGATTGGAACTTGGTTAAAACCCTGAACAATCCTGAACTTGGTTAATTGCTAAGCATCATAACAAATGGGTTTTTTGGCAGCAGCACTTGACATGAGAGCATTGGAGTTGATTCTTGGACTCGGGGCCCTGCGACCAGTTCGGTGCCCTCTAAACTTTCATGGCCTGAAAGAGAAAGGCACTTGCATATTTGTGACACCCACTGAGCATCTTACTTTTGGAGGGGGCATGAACACAAACCAAGCGTTTTCTAGGGGTGCAGAGCATAGAGAAGGCCAGGAACCGCTGTTCTAGAGGCAGCTAATCACAAGGGGATTGAAATTTGGAAAAGGCCAGCTTGAGCAGCTTGGCACATTCCCAGCTGTTGAACTGGCACCCTCAGACCTTTCAAAAGCACCACCGTAAGGCGGGGCGTTGGACACATGGGCGATCCCCCCACTGACGATGCTCCCCTTCCTTGGGCGTACCTCGCTCGGATCCTGCGCCGCAGGGCAGAGGACAATCTCCGTGTGATCCTTCGCAGCCGTGGGAGAGGACGTGTGCAGCGCGGACAGAATCCCGGCCCCGCCAAGGCTGCTGCATCCCCCTCCCTCTTGTGGCATCGGGCCCTGCTCCAGCGGCGGCTCCTTCAGTTGGCCTTCTGGTCCTCAACGCATCGACAAGGAAGGATCTGGGGCGGCGTCCTCCTCGGTTCTCGAGGCTGTGCAAGGCCAACACAGGGACCGTGCACACGGTGTGGTTTTTCGGACACGCAGAACACCTGATGAGAGTGTGCAAACCAACAGTCCAAGGACCATTCCCGGCCAGGCTCATGGGAAATGAAAGAATTTGCAAGCATTAGAGTCGCCAACCTTCTCCCTCGCGCCTTAATCCAACTCAGCTGAGGACGACGAGGTCAGAGACCCTGGCATGGACAACCGCCTCCTTAAAGGCACCACTCGCAAAATCAAAATCGTGTCCTCCTGCCCGATACCCTGAGGAGGGTGGAACAGGCGAGGGGGAGCCGAAAGCCTAATTTTCTAAGTTTGCTCAGTTCCAGAAGCAGCTGCAATTCCCTGCCTTGTACATTCTGGCTGCAGGTTTGGCCAAGTCCCCTTCTGCCACTCTGGGGAGGCCCCCAGCATGCTTGGTGGTCTGGCTTGCTTTTTTTGCCCCCTTTCTTGTTGGGATGCTTGCTTCAGTTGGGCAGCCAGCAAGGACCCCATCTGCTCCCCGATGCCTGAAGTTTCAAGGCCCAGGAACAACTTGGGGGTCTTAATTCTCTTCTCCCTGTAGCTGCAGCTGGTGAGGTTGGGACCTCCAGCCAGCATGAGAAATGGCATCCAAGGTTTGCATTTTGAAATAGTGCACTATCAAGAGAGCCTGGAAAGGCTTCCCTAAACTGTTAAGAAACTGGGCCAGGCATCCCCTTGCTTGCTTCTTTTTCCTTCTCTTTTATTTCATGCCAGACCATCCCAAGGATGAACATGCAAATCCACAAACCAATAAGTTTAGAGAAAATGTTTGAGAGCAATTGACCCATTGAAGAATTAAGAACTGATTCATCATTTTCTTGTTTAACAAATATCAAGGCAAGGAAATCAAAACAGTTTTGCACTAGCACAAAAATCTGTTTGCCCTTTTGGGATAACAAAGAAAGCACAAGATAACAGCTCATTTAACTAACCAAAGTCGTCACTAATTGATTGAGCTAAAAACCATCCTTCATGTTACAGCAAACATTAAGAACAAAGTAATCCTCCTGAATATAATGTGGCCAATTTGTGCTCTATTTATTTGATAACGAAAGGTTCCTTAATTGACTGAATAAACTCTGCAGGGACTGCATAGTAATCCAGCTTGTGCATAGCTACAAACCATGATTTAATTAACTATGGCTTGTTGAATTGTGGGTTGTTATGTGTGAACCCAGAATTATGGGTGAACTGGTTTCACAGAACTCATGGTTAGTTGTTGAGTTGTGAACTGTGGGCTGTTTAAATCATGGGTTGTTATTCGAAATGAACATAGAACTTTGGGTTGTTTTGCTAGCTTACAGAGACAGTGGTCAACCATGGTTGAAACAAAAGCAAACACCATTCCCTTTCTACATGCTGGTACTACAGTGCCGGAAAGTCATTTGGGATACCGGGAGGAAGCAAACAAAAGAGGAGGAAAGCAAACAACCCAGGAGGTGAGAAAACAAACTGCCAGATGAGCCCTGTGCAAAGCAACAAACTTTGATTGAAATAAGCCAAGGGTTGGTGTCTCACACACCTCAGGTCATTGCTGAACCTCTGAGCCTCTTGGCATGCATTCCAGTGCTTTGCAGCAAACGAGTCTTGTCCAACAATAGTCCTGTGTTCCTCCTTTTTCAAGACAAAAACAAACAGACTGACACATTGCCAAACTTGTTTTGTTTTCCAGTTATGTTTAGAGAGTCCACCTTCAGTTCCCCTTCAGTGCAATCCTCCTTCTCCAAATTATAACAGTGCACTTGCGATTTGGGAATTGTATTGCCACATACAGCCATTTGGTTCTGTGATTAAGCTGAATTCTTTGTCCTGTGCTAAGCGCTCCAGGAGTCAATTTGCACGGTGCTGGGGGACACTGTAGGAAGAAGAGCGCTTGACTCATGGGGGCCAACTTTCTCCTTCTTGCCTACCTCAGCACCTGCTTCCCTCCAGGGCTGGCCTGTTCATTTACATAGCCTAGTCCTGTTGCTAAGCTATGCACATTCCAAGAGACTCTTAGTGCAAAGCTCTTCCCCTGGTTACCAAAGCAGGGGAGAAAGAGGCCATTGTCTGAGCGCTGGGTTGCTGGGAAAGACTTGGATGCTGTATGGGCACTGGCGGTCAGAGGAGCGAATTTGGGGGGATTAGCTAGGAGTCTTCTGGCACATTTGCTCGTGGTCTTACAAGACAGCCCGGGGGGTCTTTCATAACACCGAGAGGTGGTCACTCCAGGCCGTGGTGTGCCCCTGGGAGCAGCCGGGGCCTCGCGGGGAAGAGAAGCAGAGCGCACAGTGGCTTCTGAAGTGAGCCAAGCTTCTGGCAACCACATCCATGGAACAAAGCCAATCCAGCCACGAGGAAGGAGAAGTTGGCCACCTTGGGGGCCAGATTTCACAATGAGAATCTAGCACGCTGGCCTCCTTTTCAGCGTGTCCATCCCATGAACTTCTGACGCGCAAATGCCCTTTCCCACACAACCACCAGAAGTTTTTGGAGCTTGCAGGCCGTGGCCTCGCCATCCACCCGCCATTCCCCCCTCTCCTCCACATCCCTGGTCAGGCCGGCCTTTTGTAACCATTTCCCTGAGGAAGAGCTCCTGAGCTCGCATAATTTCTTTGGCTGATCTTTTGGTCAATCTAACGCACATGGATTTTGGAAACATTCTTAGGGCTGACACAGGTGGCTTAGCTTTCGTTAGAGGCCAACAGGCTGTTCCTGTGCAGTGCTCAGTGTCATTGAATTCTCTGCCGCGGGTAGCAAAATGTTCGGGGCTGTTCCTTCCGCCCCCTTTGCTAGAGAAAGATTCCCTTCCACTTCCAGTTTGGCGTTCTGGCAAGTCCCTGTCCATCCCAGGTGTCCAAGGTAAGGCGTCCAAGTTACGTGTTGCCCCCGTGACTAGATTGCCAGCACGGATATGTCACAGACAGAGCTTTTGGCAACGGCTCCCATGTGCAGCCGGCGGGCATGGAGGGCAGAGAAAATCGAACACTGCCCACGTCAGCATGGCACATGGACACACACACAAATACACACACAGAACCCAGTGAGGTGTTCATGAGCTCAAGTTTTATTTCTGTACAAGTCTCCCTTCTGAGTGATAGGAAGTCCCTCCATTAGCCTTGCTTACACAGTAAACAAGCCATTAAGTCAAACTGAAATACAGTCAAACTGAAATACAAAACACCGACACCCAGGCCTTCTCACACGAACCATGCGCACCTCACGTTGCCCCTTGTGCTGGCTGCCCTCCTTTCGGGGCCTTTGTGTCAGCCATGTAGAAATGGGGGGGTGGGGGAAGGAGACTAAGAGGAGGAGGAGGAGGAGGGGAAAAAGCTTCCTTCTGAATGCCTCTGGGTGGCCCCGACAGAGGGGTTTGACAGAAGAAAGGGAGGGGGAAGGTTCTTTTGGCATTACCAGCCATTTTCAGTTCCATGGCTAATAGCAACACTCATTCCGCCCACAGCTGGGCATAAACATGCTACCTGATTCAAGACAGGGGTGCAGTGGAATGGTTAGACTGCCTTGCTCCTCTCCTAAGACCTGATGCCTTCAACAGCTTTGTGATAAAAAAGCAAAAAGCACCCCCCCCACCCGCAAAGTGCTGGTCATTCCCAGTCCAGCACTGATGCAAGAAGAAAAGGTCACACCTGTTGAACTTCAGCCCACCACGAAGCTGTTAAAGAACTTCTGTGGGTTTCTGCCTGCAAGGTACATAATACTCTGAACATGGGTTGTAAAGTGTTTGTGCAGCTACGTATCTACAGAATAAATAAGAGAAAAAGTTAAATAAAGTTACTGACATCTGCCGGCTGATCAAAGGCCATTGTTTCAAAGCTCAGTTCTTTCCCTCTGTGTCGCTGGCAGGACAGCCCGTGTCCTCGGGTGGCCCGCGGCTGGGGCTGGCTGCCTCGGAGAATCAAAGCCAAAGACAAACCTAAGCAACTGTGTTGCTGGAAACACAGTGCGAACTTCCTGAAGCATTTCTGAACGGCCCTTGCTCCATCCCAGGAAAGGGAACACTTTCACTCAAGTAGAACACCTCACACTTCCTCCGGATGGTTTTAAGGCACGATCGTGAGAAGAGACAGGTAGAAATTCACCCAGAGTACAATCACCTTTGCTGGAGTCCATAAAGCCCAGCTGGAAGTGCACCGGAGTTTATTAGAACATTTGTTTGAAAATAAAACAAAACTCAACCAATAAGAGTCCCTCAAAACAGAGGGTGGGGGAAACCATTGCTTGAGTTCCTCAGTCCCCACAGAAAATGATTTTGCATGCCTGCACAGGCTTTCTGAAGTGACGGAGCAGTCCTCCCCGGAAGTTACTGAGCATGAGTGCATGTCAACGGAGGAAACACCCAGGGTGGCGAATGAGCTGTTTTATTTGCTGGTTTGGAAGACGGACTTCCTGCCATCGCACACCACCATCTGGACAGAGGATGCAGGGTCGGCGGGGGCAGAAGTGGGGAGATGCAGAGGTCTCGCTTTGTCCAAGTTGCAATGCTCAGCAGCCGTCTCCAGGTGGCGTGTCACTCCATGAGAAGAAGAGGACCTCAGAGAGTCTTGCGTCGATGAAGAGGACGATTGGATGCCTCCATCCCAGGCAAGTCAACTCAAATTCCTTCCCATCACAGCTTTACCCCCCAAACAGGGCAGTCCCTTGGGGTTATGCAGATAAAATGGGACAGACAGGTTCCTGCCCCACAAGAGTTGCTATTCATGGTTTATTACACACCAAAAGAAAGAGAAAGGGGGCAGGGGAATAAAAGAGAGTCTGAGTGCGAGGGAGAGAACGCTTAAAAACCACCCCCAATAACACTAGGAGGTCTTTCGAGCAGTGGGGCACAGTGCCCTCCAACCGCGGAGCTCCATCCTGGGGATCTAGGAGGCTGACGGGTGCACCACTCTTCGTCTTGAGCCCTGAAGCCGGAGAAAGGGCTTCCCGTAAAAGTCGACGTCTTTAGTCAATGCTTTATTAGGACTTTCTCCCTCTTTTTTTGGTTTTTGTTTTTTTTTTTAAGAAAAAAAGGAAAAACCCAGCTTAGAAAAATCCCTTGAGTCACCATGGTGTGGCATCTCCCCTGTGCCCCGCAGAGGTCGCATCAGCTAACTGGTCCTCAGCTTGCTTCCCTCGGCAAGGATTTGGGGCGGGGGAGGGCCTGTGGGAGCTACATTCGGGATGACGGGCTGGCCAACTCGTAGAAAAGCAGGTACGCGTCACTACTCCGGACGTGACTTGAGGAGAGCAGTGTGACCCTGCAGGAAGGGGAGAGATAGGAAAGGCCGTTAGGGAACACAGTCCAGTGTCCCTAGAATTGCAGGGGAAGGAGGAACGAAATGGGGACACACCGAGGAAAGCATTCTAGAGGGAGACCTTGAAAAGAAGGAATCCTAAAACTGAGCCACAGTTGAAGCTGGGTCCATTTGACATGTTCAAGTGGGACATCCAGCATTTCAGAAATCTTTGGGTTCTGAGTAACTTCACTCACCTCTAAATCTTCAGGCCTGCTTTGTAACAGTTTTTTAAAATGTTGATAGACCTGTCTGTCGCCTGTAAATTAACCACCCCACTTTCTTGTCTTGGGAAGACAGTTCTGCAGCACTGCATCCCGTAGGGGCTGCCTTACTCTGTTAAGATTTTCAGGTAGAATCAGGTCATTGATCCAGGGTGGTCTTTTTGGGCTGGCAGCTGCTCTCCTCATGTGAAGAGGCTTTCTCACCTCCGCTACCTGGATCATGTTTACCAAAGATGCCAGGAACAGAAGCGGCAGCTCTTCCCTTCATACAAACATGCTATTCTTCCACCAAGCCCTGGTGTTGTCTTGAGGAGAGAAAAGCGGTGAAAGTCTTTCCTAGTCCTCTTATCTGAGACCCTTTGGAGAAACAGCTTCATTCTCAGGCAATGCTAAGCCCTGGTTTAAGTTAACCATAAAGCTTGTGGCTTTAGTCAGAAATTCTCCTGCAGATGAGCCAAAATATGCGGCTTGTATTTGCTGGCCTTCAAATGGTTCTTTTTCTAGGCTGCTTTTCCTGGGCACCTCTGTCCTAGCTGTGTGAACAATCCAGGGATAAGCCACAGTTCTGGCTGCAGTCATTGCAACAAGCCATGGTTTAAACAACCCAGATGTTACCAGCTGGCAATTCACCATGACAAGGTGTGGATGATAAGCCATGGCTGCTTGCCTTTTAATGAACTGTTGGAGTGCCAGGGGGTATAGATATTCTTGAGAGGTGTCCTGTTGTGTGAACCCAGTGAAAAGAGGCCATGTGAGAGCTAAACAATCCTTTCATAACTGTAAATCTGGCCGATCCTTGCATAATCCACATTGCTGGGTTCACCAGACTCCCAAGTGAGGGCTGGATATTTAAGATGGCGGTCAGATGGACACTGCATGTCTTATTTATTTAATACATATTAATTAACCCACAGTGGCCTGTTGTGCCCTGTGAACAGCCCCCCATAGGTTTGATTTCCAGTTAACAGCTGGTTAACAAACCATGGTTTGTTTGCAGGGATGGGTTCTGATGCAACAAGAAGCCAGGTTTCAGCAAACCACAGCATGGCTGTGTACAGGCGAGGCTTTGCAGCATCAGACAGTAGCCACGAGCATCAACTTTACCGTGAGTCATTGAAGGCGTGCCATTCTCCAGACATGGGGTTCTTGCAGTAGGCTGTGTAGTGACCACCCATGGTGGTCCCACTGTGATTGGAGACAGCGTACAGGTTGTAAACAGCATGATCTGCAGGGAGCAAGAAGACGAGAAGGTGTACGTGGTCCTTGTTCTGTCAGAACAAGTTCCCCCCATCTGGTAGCCTCCGGCTGCCATCACCTTCAGTCTGAGATGATGGAAGCTGGAGACCAATGCATCTGGAGGTCATTGGGTTTGGGAAAGCAGTGCAGGGAGCCCCAGAGCCCCACACCCTCCAAGAGACAATGTCGGTCTCAGAATCCTTTGTATGCTGCCCGGAAAGGCCACTTTTGCCAACATCTGGTGCTGAGTTTCTTCTTCACAGTCCCTAGCTTGGCATCCAGAGGGACAAATCCTTGATGGACCCATCGCACCTGCTTTTAGAGGTCCCAGGAAGCCACGTGGAATCTCCTGGAGCAAAATACCTCAAGTCTCACTATTGGAACTGGTTTCAGACCAGTTGGACTGTCAGGGGTTCCCAGTGACAAGGGCTCTATAGAAGAGTGGGGCTCCCGAATAACAAAATGCTTGGATTTTGTTGTGTGGTGACTTAGATCCACTTCAAAGAAGCATCGATTTTGTAGCATGCTAAACAAGAACGGGGGGCCCGAAGAGACAAGATTTGAGGTGTGCCTGTAGCAGCTCTGCCTTCTTTTTAATTTTAGTCTAGAGTAGATGCAGAAGGCCTGGAAGTACCTCCCACTGCCATGCTTAGGGGCCCAGTCCAGATCACGGCCTCTGTGCCTACTCTGAAGAAAAATGAAAATAAAATGCAGCTTCTAGAAACACATTTAGTGTTGATTCCTGTCTTGTGCGAAGGATGGCTTTGCTGGGCCTGGCCAACATCTGGAGCGCAGCTTCAAACAGGGGCCCTTGTCGGGGTGTTCTTCTGGCCAGTGTGGAGGAGACTGGCACCTCCTGTGTTTCTGCCTGTTGCATCCAGGAGTCGGAAATACAGGGTGTGGGGTGGCCACGTTGAGTTAGTGGTGTGGCCATGTAATTTAGGACCCCCAATTTAATGAGAAGTTTCTCTTCCCTCCCCTTCGCCAACTAGGGATGCCCGAGAAATTTAGATTCTTCTGAGCTGTGGGTTCTGCAGCAGATGTGGCTTTTTCTAAGTCATGCCGATAATGGAGACTTGTGCATCAGTTTCTCATTTTTCATTAAGGTGCATCAGCACTAAAGACTCTTCTGTAAAGCTTCTCTCATTAATGCACATTAACTGTTGTAGACTAATTAGCACTAATGTGAATTGGGACATATAGAATGCGATTCTGGTTTTTAAAAGCTGATTCTGTCATGGAACAGATGACAGGACAAAGACAACTGACTATCTGTGAAATGAAGACTCCCTGGGTGATAATTTGCCCTCATGCCAGGAGAGGGCGCCCTGGACTCCAGTCCCAAGGTATGCTCTTAGCTTTATCCCAGATATGACTGATCTGCCCTTCTACCCTTTGAAGCCGGTCCGTGCCTCTCTAGGGCTCCTCTTACTCCCTCTGTCTACACAGCCCCCGCCTCGAATTCCCACCAGAAAAACACTCACTGCAGCTTTGGGAAGCGAATTCCCGCAGGTCTAGGTCCTTGAGTGGGAAATTGACGAATGTGGTGAGTTTGCTGGATCGCATCCTGGCTTCGGAGAAACGCTTCAGGTCTGGGGCGAGAAGTTAAGGAAGAAGTACAGCACTGGCAGGCTTACTGTGGGGTGGAAGGAAAGCTCTGGGGGGCTGTGCAGCCTGCTTTTTGCTGGAGCAAAGCTTCGGGCCCATCCACCAGATGGGGCCCACTCTGCTCCATTGCATTGGTGCTGAGGGAATGGGCAACTCCACCTGGAACCATCAAAATGGTCGGAGTGGTCTGATTTTGCATCCTGTAGGAATCAGTCTAATCAAGAATATCTGCACAGGCCTAGTTTACCCTGAATAGTTTCAGTGACAGTATTTTCTTGCATTGCTCCATCCTTCGTCTTTCATGCTGCCCTTTCTCCAAGTTTCTCAGAGTGTGATGAGAGGATCTTGCTGATGCAGAGTCCCCTGTTGGAGCACTTGGCTGCGTGACTGAAAGACCAGGGCACGGGCACCGTGTGGTCCACCAAGCTCTTCCGCATTTGTTCCCTTCACAGCTACCCAGTGAGTAGTCTTGGGAGACAGAATGATGGGATAGGCCACCCAGGAACTATAGGACTAAGTTCTCCCTGGCCGGCATGCCTCACTCTAACCACTGTGCCATGCTGTCCCTCATGGTATTGCATTGGAGGCCCATCACCCTGGTCCACCAGGCTGGGCTTTCATGATTTTAGCAGGCGTTGTTCATGCATTCCACAGCCTCCCCAAATTTCTGCCAAGGAGAATCTTGCGCAGATTTGAGGTCACACCTGAATGAGGGTTCCGGGCACAGAATTCTGCACCCTGCGGAAAGCCCTGACTTTGTTGCGGAATGGCCCACACAAGACACACACACTCAATGCCCTGCTTGTGACTCCCTTGCTATCCGGGGATTCCGGATGGAGCCGTGTCTGCAGAGAAGGGGAAAGGATACGCAGCACCAGGATCTTGGGGAACCTCTGTATGCTGAACTTCTTCATGCACTTTGTCCGGGCCTTGCAGTGGCAACAGGTCTGGAAGGAGAGAAGGAACCATGATGAGCCGGAAAGCGCCCTGCGGCTTTGCGCTGTGCTGAGAGATGGGAGGCTCGCCTCTCCCTCCCTCCCTCTCCCTCTCTCCATTGTGTTTCTGTACCTCCCAACAGACAAAGCCCTCCAGGCACTTTGCCGCAATTACAACCATGAAATACAACATCATAAAATAAATATAAAAGATTTTAAAACTGCAGGATAAAATAAATATAATAGTCAGATATAAACTTAGCAGCAGCATCGAGATTTAAAGCACAGCACTGGATTTCCTAATGACACCGAAAAACTAACCCCCTGGGAAACCAGAGAATGCTGGAAAGAGCACAGTGGTGGTGCCAGGCAAGCATTCCTGGGGAGCTCCTTCCACAAGCAGGGAGCCACCGTGAGAAAGGGCCTGTTGCAGTAGCCCCTTCCTTCAGTGGGTGTTTCCAGAGAAGGGCATCGAAGACCATCTCAGGATACAGGCACATGTGTGTGTATATATATATAGGTTTAAGTTAAAATATACTGCTATTTTGGGTCCCCCCCCCTTTGCCTTGGTCCTCCCCACCACTGGAAATGCAACCCTGAGAGCTTGCCTGGCAGAAAGTTGCCATCCTATAAATGACAGCGTTCAGAAGTGCTATTGGCCCACAAGGTGGGTTCCAGATCCCCCTGTTCTTCCTCTCCCGCTGCCCGCCTCCCCCCCCTTCCCATCTGGACATGCGCCTTGCGTGGCTCCTTACAGGCTTCTCATCTCCGTCCAGGATGTCCTCCTTGGTGAAGAGCCTTAAGCAGTCGATCAGGTTCACCTCCCCGTAGCTCTTCTGCAACAACACAGATGTGCCCCCCAAGGGTGCGGTTAAGCCAGAAGTGCTGAGTTGGGGGGGGGAGGAAGCCAAAGGTGGGCTGGGATGCCCTGCAGGGGGTGGGGTTACCTTGGCAATGGGCAGGGACAGGTCCCAGAAGGGGTCGAAGGCTGTAGAGCAGTGTCCGCACACACTGCAGGTCAGTGAACTCTTCAGCTGCCCCACAAAAAGATCTGAGGGGGCAGAAAGGTTGGGGAATCAGAAGGGGGGCCGAGGGAGAGGCCCAGTCAGAAAAGCCCCTGGAACCGTTGTCTGAAAATCCAACTCCTTTCCCACAGTAGGAACACTAACCAGCCAGCCAAGAGATGGAGTGGCCAGTCCAGCCCTTATCTGGCCGCACTTAGCAAGCTGCTTCTCAGGTCCAGGGCAGAATTTAGCTATCCTCTGTTGACCTCTCCCTCCCTCCCTCCCTCCCTCCCTCTGTGTGTGTGTTGTGTGTACATGGCAGGGGGAGGGATGCTGTCTATGTATTTTTAGGCCTGCTGACCCAATGCTTGTTGTTTCCGTTGGACTTTCAGCTGCCTCCTTGGACTGCATCCCCTGCCCACCCCTTAGGACTTGGCCCTTAAAAGTTCTCCCTGACTGGCGTTCGTATCTCAGTAAAAAGTGTGGGATTTAAGCCTTTGCTCAAAGTCCCCACAAATAATGGACCTGACCCCCTTCTCTCCTGCTCCCCCATCTGCGAGTGGCTACCCTGACTCCCCCCAACCCCCCCGTTCTGCCTGCCATTGATTTCAGCACTTACCTCCAATCCGGCTGTCTTCTCTAGCCAGGTATTTCATCCACATTTGCCTGCCTTTTTCATCGTCACTGGAAGAGGAGAGATGGAGAAAAGGTGAACAACACCATTCCCCCGCGGGCTCCAGGCTCTTTCGTGCCAAAGGCAGCCAGCCTCAAAGCCCTCAAGCTCAGGGTCCCAATCCTGCTCTCTGGGGTTCCCCAGACCAGCATGCTGCCAAGGGGGAGCACTGGCCCCCAACTTGGGCAGCTTTAAATGCAGGCTGCAGAGACTCGTGGCGGCGGCGGCGGTGGATGGGGATCCTCTCGGGTGGCAACAGCGGAACCTACCCTGAAAGAGCGAGCATTGCAGCTGTCTTTAAGGGCTACCAAAGCAAGGGGATGCAATGCCCCCTTGTCCTGCTTGTGGGCTACGAGTGGGGCATTCAGCCGGCCACTGTTGCAACGGAGTCCCGGACGAGATAGACCTTTGTCTGATCTCGCGCAGCTTTTAAGCTCTTGCAAGCATTCCTTGCAAGAAAGAGGAGGGTCTGATCCACCTGGATCTCGCTGCCCTCGCGGCTGGGAGCCAGCCAGGTGGGTTTACAGAGACCGGCAGCCTTGCCCGGGCAAGCTTGGTGCCAGTGGCATCTGCCCCATCCCTCTCCAGCCCTTCCCTGTGACTCACGCAAGGTGGTCCAAGTTGTCGTTGCTGCCTTTGGGACGCACCAGCACTCGGTTCACCTCACTGTGGAGGCCGTCAAGGAGGAACCGCAGGAACTCCTGGGCGTCCTGCTGGCTGCAGAGAGGAGAAACGTGCGCTTTAGGCCACCCCTCCGGAGGTGCAGGGAAGGTCCCATGAATGGCACATCGGGGTGGCACATGTGCGCAAGGAGCTGATTTGCCTTCATCCTAGTTTCATCCTGAGCAGGATGGTGTGACGTGGTGTCCTGCAACAGCAGCGGGCTGGACCCGGTGGCCTTCCAGGACTCTCGAATGAGGTTCTGCTCCCAGAACTGGGGGAAACGTGACCCAGGGAGAGGCCTTTTGCAGCAGGAGCAAGGAGAGTTAAGCCCCACTGAGTCTGGCCTGCAAGCCCCTTCCCTCTGGCCCTGCATGTGCATGAGCTGGCAGCAACCGGCCTGATCCTGGCCTTGTGTGCCCAGAAACAACTCCTACAATGTTCAGTAGAACTTGTTCCGAAGAAAATGGGCACCAGCCGTGCTCCCCTAATCCCTTTGCCAGATTGTCAGCAGGAACGGTCCAGAAGAGAACCGAAAGATTATGGCAAGCTGCAAGCACTCTTGGGATTTTAATGGGATAACTGAACCCACCCACTGTCTGATCAATGACTGTCCATCGGAAGTGAAAAGGGAGGAGGTGGGAAGCTCTCTTACTTGTAACCAACGAAGCGGGGGGCATATCTTTGAATCTGTGTCTTGAATTCAGAAGGACTCACGGATTCGTTAGGGGACGATGTCCACAAAGTCTGTATGAGCTTGGCAAACTCTGGAGGAGGAGAAGGCATTGGAAGAGGAGGAGGAAGGCAGGAGGAGAGGGACAGCGGGTGGGCAGAGTGGAGAGAGAAAGAATCCCAGGTTAGCTTCCTTACAGGAGAGCAATATATTTGACAGCGGCACACAAGTGCAGAAAATACCCCATCTGCTCCGGGTAACTTGTGTGGGGCACACGTCCCCCAGCCTCTGAGGCTCTGGGTGGAGACGCACCAGGGCAGGTCCCAGCACGTCAGGCCAGGACTTACTCTAACTCTTTTGAGCTGCCCATTCCCCCAACATTTTCCCTCAACCTCTGATAACTGGCTGGCATCCCAGCTTGTGTACATTTCCCCCTGGTTCTAAAGGCTGAAATGCTGCTTTGAAGAAGGGGCAGAGCTAGGAACGGAAAAGGCCCAAGTCCTGCTTGCTGGAATCTAGCTCTCCGAAAAAGGCTTCTCTGAAATGGAATTCGGCCCTTATGCTGAGACAGGTGCATGACCTCTGCTTTGGGGTTCAAAACACCTCCACCTTTTGCTGCATCCATTTCCCTGCGTCCAGGGTCAGACCCTGGAGGATTGGCAAGCGCCCAAGGTGTGGTGAAATGCAGATACTGCTCCTAGCTCCTCTTTGAGATGGGGTGGTATTCAAGCTGCAGCTTTGTAAGGACAAACCGAGAGCCAGGCACTGATAACATTTAAAAACAAAAAGACAAAAGAAAGATGTTCAAACTTCTTAAGCGTGCAATTAATTGTGCATGAACATCTGCTTTGCAACCGGGATGCAATTTTTCGCAGCTTGAATACTCGGTGCTTGCTTCCCTGGCTACCTACATGCAGCAGGGCAGCTCCAGGAGGCAGGAGATGCACAGAGGAGACTTATCTGGTCCTGCGATGCAAGACTGCTGTTTGGGAGGGGAGAGAAAAAGGAGAGCGCCACACCCAAACCCAAAGGACGGCCTCGTAGTTCATATCTCTGTACTCTTTGAGGCTCACTTCTTGTTTCTGCCTGGCTGCAAAGCAACCAGCAGCTTTCCTTCCTGATGCACACCCTTCAGCTCCATCCCCTTCCTGGGCCCCCAGATGCTTAAGACTGCCTGCAAGAGACCCTGAGAAAGGGGAGCTTCTGGGGACGCTGGCGTGTATGCGGGTGCAGCCAGCCCTCCGAGCTCTTACCTGTCATGAGCGCCATCTGCATGCGGCTGTTATTGTTCAGGTCACGGACGTGCTGGTTCTGCAGGCAGTAGTCCCGAAGCTCTTTGGTGTTACTGAGGCACTGCAGGATGGAGTTCATGAAGCACTGTGGGAGGCAGAAGCAGGGGACACGAGTGAGCCGAGGTCTGCCAAGCCTGGGACAATGGAGGGATGGAGCATACCTGGTTCTTTACATCCCCAACCTGACACCTTCTAGTTGTGTGGGACTACAAATCCCACTCAGCACAGCTGTCTGGACCCCTGCAGAGCTGAGCAAGCAGCCCTGGTCTATCCTCTTCCAATTGTATGCCCTTCAGATGGGTAGGGAGGTCTCTCCCATCCTGCTGGGTTGGAATGATGGGAGTTGCAGTCTAACATTACTGGGGGTCACCAGGATGGGGAAGATGCTGTCGGTCTTCGCTGGCTTGATGGAGTGACTCCACACAAGGACAGATGCTTGTGCTCTGATGAATCTGGCTGGCCAAGGTACAAGACTCACAGAGAAATGAATGAAGATAAATGTCACCCCCCTTCTCAAATCTCCCACTCAGGTCAGGAAGCTTCCTGGTTGATCTTGGGCCAGCAGACTTGCAGCAGATAGTAAAAGTTAGATTATGGACATGCCTCGAAGTACTTAATCTAAATTTTACTATTGCAAGTCTGCATTGTGTTTGTGTGAGAGAAGTGTGCTTGTAAGAAATGAAACACAGGCTATATGGTTTATAGTTTGAGAAAAAATTAGCTTTCTGAAAAGTTATTGTCAGTTCTGCAAGGGGGATTCATCTTTCCGTGGTGTGCATACAGAGCCACTGGGTGGCAAGGGGCAAACCTACAAGCGAGGTTAAACGCCTCTTTGCATTTAATGTGCGAGTTTTTAAAAAAGCAGATTGCATCAGCTGCGTGGGAGGAAAACTGTAACCATTTCCTCCTTGCTCCAGTCCTGAGGGAGAAAGACACCCACGGGTGCCAATGGGGACCCTCCCAGCAAATACCAGAAGTGGGGTTCCCTCAGAGCAGTGGCAAGGGAGGGAAGGTTTAAACCCCCCTCTGCGAATTCTCCGCCCTCTCCCCAGTGGAGGAGATCTGCTTAAAAACAGCAGCAGCAACCCTGCATGATACATGGAAACACCAATTTGACATCAGGCCGGCTCGGCCCACGTGCCTGAGGCTGGGTGGGATGCATGAGGCTGTCTCCCGAGACGCTTACACAAGTATCTTGCACGCAGCCCTTTTCTCTCTGTGGGCACGTGAGAAAACCCCAGTGGGTGCCGGTGCTGGTGGTGGGGATTCCCAGCAACGCTGGCAAAGAAGAGGAACCAAGGTATAAATAACATCCGAGGCGAGGCTTGCAAAACCCCGTTGCAGCTGCTAATGCACCAACCACCCAACCAGCCAGGGAAGGTACGGGTTGTGGGCTGCAGGTTGGTGCACTGAGGGAAGTGGCGGGTGCACCACCAGCTTCCCACACACTCGGAGGTGCACACCCTTGCCCTGGGCCTCCCCAAGCCTGATGAACCAGCCCTGGAAAGACCGTGCCGCCGTGCCAGCTCCGCTGACAAGGTGACCTCAGGAGAGAGGAAGTTGGCGCTGAGCAGCGCTGCCTGCAAGCAGCTGGGGAGGCCTCCCCAGTCAGCGGCCTGCCCTGTGCAGAAGCCAGGTTCTCTCTCCGAAGACACGTGGATGGCCGTGAGCCACCCTGAGCTCTTTGCTTACTGGGCAGGACCGAGATGGAATGAATAACCGTGTCTAAGTGACCTACTCGCCTTGTTTCCTATACTCCGTTTTTTAAAAAGCATTTTTGTGCAGTGTGGTCTGGAAGACCATGAACTGGGAAGCTCCCAGTTTGAATCTTGGCTCTGCCAGTGTCTCATGTGAGAGACACTGTCTCGGCCTCAGTCATCCATCTGCATTATGGGGGTAATTCCTGCCATGTGGAGCAGCAGGAAATCCTGGTAGGCTGGGTGGAGGATGCTGAAGAAGGGTGGTTGCCGTCCGTGAGCATAAGAGGCTGGGTGCCTTGTTAACTGGCCAGCTGAACTGTCCCTCTCATCACCTGCTAAGAAATGGAAATCCCCAGAACCGGTCCGGGATCCTTCTGCATGCAGAGTGTGCTTTTGCCATTAAGCTGCTCTCCGAAGCAGAAGGGCTTAGAAAGAGGACCACGTGCCTCCAAACTTTCACCGTTTCTGTCCCTGGGAGATTTCTGGGCTGGGAGTGGTCCGAAACTTCTGTGCACCTGCTGGACCTGCGGGTGGGCATTTGCCCCCAGGACCACCCCCTGCTTTGCCACTGTTGCCCCACACCCACTTGGGGGGAAGAAAACGACAGTCACCACACGATAGTCACTGTTTGTCTCCATCAACAGCAGCTTGTATTCCGGATCTGCTGTGGGAAGGGCAAAGTGCTTTGGGAACAGTTAGGGCTGGAAATGGGTGCGCAGAGATGGCTGCATAAAAGGATCAAAGAGATGAAGGAGGTAGGTGCCCACCTGGCAGCCGGAGGGCAGAAATTCTGGCCATGCCCTTTGGCCCCACCAGCGGCCACTTCGTGCTTTCCTGCCTACTGTTTTCCCTCCCCAGCACTGGCAGGGGGCACCTTGGGCTCCTCTGGGCAGATGCTTTGCTCCGCCCCTTTCCCTTCGGTTCCGCCCACGAGTGGAATTCAACTCTCCCTCCAAACATCTTTCACAACTGAATCCAGCCCGGAGATTGCATCAAGTCCAGCACCCCTGACTGACAGCGTTGTTATACAGTAAGCACTTTGAAGAATAGCCAAAAGCGCTGTACAAATGCTACACAAAGTATTCCACTTTCACAGCCGCCCCCCCCCCCCCCCGCCCCCCCCCAAACCCCTGGATGCTGTAGTTCTGAGGCTGCAGAGAATTTTTCAGTACAGAACTGCAACTCCCAGGGTTTTCTGTGGGTGATGAAAACACTTTTCAAGTGTGCACGGTAGAAGGAGGGAGAAGAAGTGACTTACGGTGTTTCCGAGGTTTCGAAGACCTGTCAGGCCTTGCACTGTTTTGGAATTCTGTGGAGAGAGAAGGACACACTGCATGTGAGAATGCTGCATTCTGCATTCTCTAGACCACCTTTGTTCTAGAAAGCCAGTGTGGCACAGTTAAAGAATTGAGCTGGGACTCAGGAGATCCGGATTTGAGTCCCTCTAGGTCCTGAATCTCACTGGGTGACGTTGGGCCAGTCACTGTCTCTCAAACAAACCTACTTTGCAGGGCTGTTGTGAGGATGAATTGGAGAATAATGTTCTTGGTTATCATTTCCCATCAGCATCAGTGCTTGGCCAATGGTCAGAAATTGGGAGCTCCAGTCCAAAGACATCTGGAGGCAAGAGGCACTGCCATAGCCGATAGACATGAAGCAGACGTTTTTGCTGAATAAGACACAGCCTGAGATGCGCAGGTGTGAGACCAGGGCACCAAAGCAGTGATCCACTGAGCGAGCGCAACGTGCTGGTGCCACAGAGGTCTCTCACATACCCAGGGTGCCCATGGTGTTGCTTGCGCCTGGGAAAACCCCTGGACGCAGCCTGTGAGGGCCAGCAATGGATTTCAGGGTGAAGGCGTCTCCGTAGGAGGGAGCGCGTTGCCAGGAAGGAAGGGTGAAGCTTTGCAACTGTCTCTGGCTCAGAGGATTTTGTTTGTTAAGGACGGGCCAGATTCTGGAGAGCTGTAGGCCTATTGATGGGTTGGTGCAAGGGGCGAGCACCTGGCTGTGCTCAGATGCTTCGGACTGCCGTTCCATCAGCCCCAGCCAAGGAAGCCAACAGGCGGGGGTCCTGAGAGGCGGGGTCTGAAACATCCGGTGGGCCCCGGTTGCCTAGCCCTGGTTGAATGAAGCTGCCGAGTTCACAGGCTGAGCAGCTCGGTGTGCCGGATGGCAGGATAAGGAACCGAGGAGCGGTGCTGTCCTGAAAGGACCCCTGGCCTGCCCCGCTCTGGCTGGAGCGACCCAGAGCCAGCCCCCTTCCAAGGCAGGCAGCTCTCTGGAGCAGGTGCCCGGGGAAGGGCTCTCACTCCTTCGCTTCCTCGCTGCCGGCCCCCGATTTGGGCTTGGGTGGGTTAAGGGGGTGCCTTTGCTGCTGAGCCACTTGCACGGCCGCCCGCCCCCCAGGAACAGCCGCGGAGGGCTTTGGGGAGGGGGGGGCGGCAGTGCCAGCAGCTCCAAAATAGCAGCATGTGTAGGAGGCGAGTCGCACACTCGCCTGTCCCTGACGACAGCCCAGAATAGACCAGCTCCAGCGCCGCACACACACGCTTGGCTCTCACAAGGCAGGCTCCTGCCACGTGTGGGGAGGGGGGGCTGTGGCGACACAGACGAGACCGAATCCCAGCTGAATCCTGTCCCGCTTTGCCCTCCCCGCCACACTGCCCACCTACTAATATCTGCAGCCAAGGGAAGGCGCCTTGCCAAGGATAATGGGCTGCTGAGCAGAGTGATGGGAGAGGTGGCCCAGCTTGGTTAGCGATCAAGACGTGGGGCAGACGAAGCCCCGGCATGCGCCCGACTGTTTGGCCCAACAGTGATGCTTGGAAAGACTTCTTAAGCGCTTGTGTTGTTTTCGGTATTATTCCCCATGTTTGGTGTTGTTAGTGCAACGAGGGGCTTGTCGCTCAAAATATTGAATTCACCTGTGAAAGATTTGACAGGGCCAGCGCTGCTGGAGTTCCCAGCCTCGCCGGGGCAGACTTGGGTTGAAATCTCCACCCGGACACTCAGCGGGTGACTTTGGGAAAGTCCCTTTCTCCTACCTCACAGGGTTGTTGTCCGAATAAAATGGGTACACTGGGATGTGGACATGAGGACGAAACAGCGACAACTTCCCTGGGAGATGATGGCTTATGGGTCTTATGGGCAGCACACCACCAGCTCACCCCAAAGCCTTATGCCAAGAGCCATTCTCACACACACCATCTCTGAACACAGCTAGACTTTCACCCGAGGCAGGGAGAAATGTCAGCCAACAAGCACGTTTGGAAAGGCTGTCTCAGGTTTGGGGCTCTCCAGGATGGCCCCGCCCTGCTCCCTCCGTGTCTCTCCCAAGGCTTTTCCCTACCCAAGGGAAATTCCTCAAGGGAAGGACCAGGAACTGAGAGTGTCTGGGGAGTGCGGCATCTCCCAGGCATCCGGGAGGAGCCAGCGGGCTTTCCTCCACTCTGGGCCAAAGGCAGGGCTGAGATGGATCGTGCAGCAGAGCCAGAGGAAGCGGGAGAGGGCTGCTGGCGGGGTAGGGGCTTTTGACCCTGAAGCATCTGCACCTTGCGCTAGGAGAGGAGCCTGGGGCGGCGGAGGAGTCCCACACCAACAGGCCCGTCTCACTCATACGTCCACAGAGACAAATGCACAATCAGGGACCGACAGTGTAGTTACTGGACACTGCAGCGCACTGAAGCTGAGCCACCATGAAAATCTTTGTGACTTCGACCTCTTGTAGGATTGCGGGAAGTGGCCGGGATTGGAGTCAGCCTATAGGTGAACATGGCTTACTGTGCTTCGCACAAGGGTAGCCAACCTGGTGGGCCTAGAGCACCTATCATCCTCAGCCAGCATGGCCAATGGTCGGGAATGATAGGAGAAGCAGAACGAAACTTCTAGAAGGCACCAGCTTGCTAAAACTGGCCCTTAGTGAAGACTCTACAGGGATTCCAAAGAATGGGGGGGGGAGTCTTTCCTGGAGGTCCTGGAGATGCTGGGCACTGGACCCGGAATGATTTGCATGCAAACAGCAAGCTTCTTCCGAGCACCAGCACTTCTCCCAGCTGGGTGGAGGCTTGCTGAGGGAGAGGCAGTTTATGCATGCTCTGCAGAACTCTTCTGCATGTCAAGGAAAAGGAGGGGGAAAGGCTATGGGTGGCCATGAGTTAGGATGGCTGTAGGCCTCCTTGAGCAATGGAGATATCTGCCTCTGGACACCAGTTGCTGGGGAACATGGGCAGGAATATGTCGTGGCACTTCTGTCCTGCTGGGCCGGGGTTCCTGCCACGGCAGCTGAAGGCTGGCCCAGAAGAGTTTTGGTGCCACTGGCAGTCAAAAGTCCCAAGGGTGCCTCCCACTGGACACGCTCTGAGCGAAGAATATTTCCCAACGTCCCCTCCCTCATCCCCTCCCTGGCAGAGCCGGAGAGTTGACGTTTCCTTTAAACAGCATTCACGTGTGTGGGTGGTCCCTGACATTGCACATGGCTTGACACAGCCCGTGGGCGCCAAAGCTGGGCACACGCACTGAGCCGTGGTCAACTGCAATGCACCCATGGATTGTGGGGTGGGGTGGGCTGGGGGGCTGCAGTCCATCACAGCCCTGTTTGTGCGGCTGTCCTGCGCTGGCTGGAGCCTCCCAGCTCTTGTTCCGGGCACCGAGCGCTGCCTTTTGGGGAATCTCCATGGCATGCGTCCTGCTCTTGCCCCAAGGAAGCAAGCCCAGGTCTGCCCCGTTGGCCGGCGGCCGCCTCTTCCTCTGCTGCTTCCCCAGGGAGGCAGCGATTCAGCTCTGCGGGCCACAGCTCGGTCCCTGCTTCCCTTCCCCAGCCAGCTCCACGAGCTCTCTCCGGAGCCAAGCCGAGCAGGAAGGCTCCGAGCCGATAGGTACTGACAGCTCTTACATAACTCCTTGCCCCATTCACAGGGAGGACAAGGTGCTGACCTGCCCCGAGCCGCAGGTGCTGCCTCCGCAGGGCGCCTCTTACGTAAGGCTGAAACAAAGGAGTCCCAAAGGGCACCGGCCCAACAAGGTCAGGAAGGCTCCGGCTGCGTAACGGGGGGAGGCGGAGGGGAAAGACTCGGAGCAACTGCCGAGGAACCCAGCTGTCCTGGAGCGCCTCTCCCCTCTCCAAAACTCACCTGGCATTCAGAAGACAGTTTCTCCTCTCTCTCTCTCTCTCTCTCTCTCTCTCTCTCTCTCTCTCTCTCTCTCTCTCTCTCTCTCTCTCTCTCTCTCTCTCTCAGAGAGAGAGAGACGGGCACGCACACTTCTTACGTCAGAGTATGCACGGAATGGCTTTGAACATGACAAGAGGGGTCAGCGGGCAAACTAATCCACGGAGGTTATCTGAGAACGTTCTCTCTTGGTTGGGGGCGGACGGACCTCAGGTTCGCGGGTGGAGCAGCCGCTCAACCTGGGAATTTGGGATCACCACCAGCAATGAGATCACAAGTGTCTTTTCACAGTAATCCGCTCCTGGTTTTGTCCCAAGCATGCTTTTCAGCAGCCTAATTTTCTGTCTGTCTCTCTCTCCCGCTGTGGGAAAGCTTTTTAAATTACATTGTCAGATTACCGACATCCACCAAATCGACTTTCTGCCTCCCTTGTCCCATCCTCGACTTCCCGGGTTGCCTTCCCTCCCCAAAAGGAGCGAGCCGACGCGCAGAGCGCCCGTCTCTAGGCCCCCACTGCGCGCTTCAGGCTGCCCGCTCTCTCCAGCACGACAGCTCAGCCGCCGGGTGGAAACGCTGGCGGACAAGTCATGGGGGACGGAGACGGCGGCTTAGTAATCGCTTCCACGATCACGCCCGGCTTCTTCCCACGGATCTCCTGCCCACACGCCTCCTCCTACTTTTTGGCAGCAAGGGGGAGCTGAGCCCCGCGTGGGTAACTGGAGAGGGTGAGCGGGCGTGGATCCCCCATTCCCAGCTCTAGCAGATGGCAGCCACCTCGCTATTCACTGCAGGGATGGGCAAAGGCTTCGCGGTGTTCAGGCAGACCCTTGCCCAGAGCTACTCTCGGTGCAACGCCGGGGCTCTGCCACGGGCTGTGGCCCTCTCCCCACCGTTTTCCAGACAGGAGGGGGACAAGGAGGCAGCGGCCCGGGTCCCGCTGCTGGTTTTCCCACCGGGGGGCGATGCCATCGCTTCCCCCCCTCGCAGGCTGGAAGCTTTAGCAGCTGCCCCGAGTCCTTGCGGCATGGGACCCAGCGGCTCACCGTGGCACGCCTGCCGTGCCCGCATCCCTCGCTACGCAAGCCGCAGCGCAGGGGACACAGGTGCCCCTTCCCAGGGTCCGAGCGTTGGCCCTGCAAGC